AAGAATAAAGCCTTATTGAATCCCAAGCAACACCATTACATTTTTTAAAAAGATGCATAAATTTATTAAAACTAAAGATTTAAAAATTTATTGAAATCAGAAAAATAAAATTTAATAAATTTCAATACATTAACTCTAGAAACCAAGAAGAATTTAGAAAGGATTCCTTTAAAAAGATTTACTATTACATTCTTTGTCAGACTGTGACTCAGGGAACTTGTGGTATCATTTTACACCCCTGACATACTGCCTTGATAAATCAATCAGTAGTAGCACATGAAATCATGGATAGATGAGAGACGCATATCCACTCTTATCCAAATGTAGCAAATAGCCCCACATTTCGTAGTTAATGATAAGCGGTTTCTTCTGTAATTCTTTGGAGCAATAAGCCTTTGGACCCCTGTGTCCCCCATTTTAAAAAGAGCCATTTATGCCTTTGTCCCAATATATTGGGTTGTCAGGAGTTAAAACGCTGGCTGAAACACTGCAGGACTCCTTATATGAATGCAGATAAAAATGTCTCAGAAGGTGGTTTACTCTGATTTGGTCTTTCACATTTCAAATTTGCTTGGTTGGTCAGAGTTAGGCAGGCAGAAATGAGTTAAGAATTTTAGAACTCACGATAATTTTATCCAGAAGTAGATTATGATTATTGCTGTCCAGTATGAGAGGAATAACCAGACCAGCTGTCTTTCCCAAGATGGCTGCAATGAGTGGCTGAAGAAGAGACAAAATCCATCCTAAAATGGGAGGAAGAAGAGAATTAGTTTCATAATACTCAAAACCTGTACTCAAATATACAGAGCTTCTGGATGAAGCAGTAAGACAACTCCTGGATTTAAAAAGTTAAAAAAGGTTCTGATCAGTAGGTTACTTGTAATTAGGAATCTTTCAGTTAGGGTTTGTAAGAAGTTGTCTAACACAGGAGGAACATAGAGGACATGATTTTGTCACTAAGAGCAGGAATCCTCATCTTTTACTCACTTCTTTCAAAACCCAAGAGGAAAGTAGAATACATCTGTTTTTTCCTGATCACAAAACAGATGTCATTTGGGAAAATGACAAATTACTAACTTGAAAGGTATCTCCAGAGACAATAAAGCAAGTAGTTCCATTCAGAAAAATGGGCAGGAAGGGACCTGAAATCCAGACTGTGGCATTTAAACTGCAGCTGAGAGAGATGTGGGCACTTCTTTACCCAACTGGACAGTTTCTGCTTTTTGATATTAAAAGATTATTCTTTACTCAATGGTGATTAGCCAAAAGTTAAGGGGGAAAAAAAAACCCAACACCTCCCCATCAATTTCCTCTTTAGTGTGAAGGGCTCTTGGGGGCCAAATGCCTTGTTAAGACAAATGGCTCAGGTGAGTTTCTGACAATTCACAGGCCTGGAGAGTTGAAGACCTACGCCCCCATCCCTTCATATACCAAAAGGATGAAGTTAATGCTAACACCTTAAACTGTTCATATAAGGTCAAGGTTCTGACTCAAATACTATCCTTCCTCCACAAAAGGAACCCAATTCATCAATACAGGTCTGTCAGGAAATTGCAAACAGTGCAGTGTCTTCCCCAGATTATTTTTAGATTATGTTTCAACTGCTTTTTAGATTATGTTTTTAATTGCTGGTTTTAATAATTTGGCTGCATTTCTTCTATAACTTGGGTCACTACAGTCATTGCTTCAACTCCAGTAAGGAAGAGAAGAAAGAAGCAGGGGTCTCGCTCAGAACCCAGCAGGGCTTTCTACCCTCTTACTGAAGGCTGGCCAGACTCTCCTTGGTCATTGGCTTGGTTTTGGAGCCGCAGTGCAACTCCTGCTCTAGCCTAGACCACAGAGATCAATGACTTACAGCTGAGAGCCTGGGCGACAGGCTCTCTCGCAATTGAAGGCTGAGTGTGGTAAATCAGAAGTTAAGGAACCTCAGGTCAGCACCACCACAGGGTGCCCGCGCACACTCCACCCCCAAACACCTCTGCCTTAGTGCTTCCTGAGGGATGTGGGGATGGACCAGGGGCTGCTTTTTCTTTTTTTTGCTTTTTTATTCTAATGAAAAAGGCTGGTGTGCTCTGACCTGCAGAGCTGTGGGGTCATAAAGAAAGGTGCATCTAATAAGTTTCGTATAAAGAATCCATCTGGCCCAGGTCACCCCATTGCTGACTTCACCACTTCGGGAGTACTTAACTAAACAAAGCATCCAGACCTACCATGAGCACACCCTACAAGCGGAGGGTGGTCAAGGGAAGGGCCAAAGTGTGCAAACCTAAGTCGGGTGCTGCGTTTTCAGAACGGTTTAGTATGCGAGCTGTCTAGCTAGGCCTGTTTCGGCAACTACCTCTACCAGTACAGAAAGTCAGAATTCACCCCAAATTTCCCAGTCCTGCTGAAACGAATGCTCTACAGGGCTGGCGCCTCGGAGTCCCTCCACTAGCCGGCTGCGGCTGCGTGTGCGCGTCCCAGGCCGCCCACCAGCCCCGCGTCCTTCGCGCTCACCCAGCCGCCGTTGGCCATCAGCCAGGCGCGGTGCCTTTCGCAGAACTGGGCACACAGAAGGGCCACCAGGAGCCGACAGTCCCTGCTAACGCCGTCGTCGTCTCTCTTCTGCCGTCGGGTCGTCTGCGGCGGCCTCTCCAGCAGCGACCCCGCGAAGGTCACGAGTGAGGCCACGCGGCCCCAGCTGGGGCCAGGGTCTTCGTCGAGTAGCCTCTGCGCCATCCTGGCCACCAGCTCGACGCGGTGCCTGCGGCAGCGGCGGTAAAGCGGCAAGACGCTTCGATTTGCTTCCTGGATACGGGCGGCCACGTGGCGCAGCACGGCAGCCTCGGGCGTGGAGGGCGCAGGAGTGCGAGTGCCGGGCTCCCGGGCGCAGAACTCGAGGTAGTCCACCAGCAGCCGGGCGGTGCGCTCCCTAAACGGGTCCACCATGGCTCCGCCTCTACCGGGGTCCGACCCGGGCCTGTTTTCTGGGCCTGCCGGCGCCCCGCCCCTCCTCGCGCTGGCTCGGCTCAGCCCGCCCCCACGCAGTTGCTTTCCCAGGTCTGGAGAGGGGCCTTTGATGGGAATCCCATCTACACTTGTTCCGGTCCCAACAGCCAGGGCCCCGTGGTGTGCATGGATTCACGTAGCAGTCAGGGTCAGAGTGAGACTCTTTGGGGGTTATTGTTTCTAGCTTTCGGCTTGGGGACTAAGAACCCAGAGGGGACAGTCAAGGCAAATGGGCTAGGCTGGCCTCTCCTTTAGGAGAGGTTCCCTGGTGGCTCAGATGGTCAAGAATCTGCCTGCAATGTGGGAGCCCAGGGTTTGATCCCTACGTGGGAAAGGCCCCCTGGAGAAGTGAATGGCTACCCACTCCAGTATTCTTGCCTGGAGAATTCCATGGACAGAGGAGCCTAGGGGGCTACAGTTTATGAGTCGAACACGGGTGAGCCACCGACATTTTCTTTCATACCAGGAGAGGTTGACAAAGGCTACACACAGCCCTCCGCTGGTGACTCCCTTGAAAGTGTTATCAGCATTTTCTCAGATTGGATGGAAGCATCCAGGTGTGTGTTGGAATCTGGCCATATGGGACAGGAAACAGGGTAATTCTCCTGCATGTTGCTACTAGAGTACCAATATTAGCTACTTTCGTGCATTCATTCATTCATTCATTCACTCACTCATTTACTCCTAGCCTTTGGGGTGCTAGGTCTCCCCCTTAGCACTGGAGATACAATGGAGAACAAGGCATGTGGTCCCTGCTCTTAAGGACCCTACAGTCTAAGTGATGGGACAAAGAAACGGCCAATCACAGCACAGTTAAACTGTCGCTATAATAGAATTATCCGGCTTTTGGCTGTTTCTTATAGCTACCATCCTTATATTACTTAGAATTCTCCACTTTTTACTAGCTAATCCCTCATTACTCCACTCCCCTATTATAGTTAATATACTTCTTATACTAATCTTTCTCTGTTCATGTTATTCCATGGCTTCTTTCTCCTGAATGGACTCAGGCGGACACAGAATTGGTATCAGCTGTGAAATTTGTGAGGGTTCATTGGTCTGGAGCATTTTGAAATATCCCCACCGGGGTGAAAGATGAATAGCTGTATCTTGTATCACCTACAAAAAGAAAGAGGCACAAACTTGGTAGGTCACTTTGGAGGCAACATACACATCTGAGTATGCAACGTCAACCCATCTACAGCCTGGTGGATTTGGGAGTAAAACAAGAGAAGACTCTGCAGCTGTTTAGGCTGAAGTACGAGCTGATTTCCCAGGTGGTGCAGTGGTAAAGGATCTGCCTGCAACACAGGAGATGTGAGTTTAATCCCTGGGTTGGGAAGATACCCTGGAGAAGGAAATGGCAACCCAATGCAGTATTCTTGCTGGGGAAAGCCCACGGACAGAGGAGCCTGTGGGCTCCAGTCCATGGGAGTGACTAATCAGCAACAAGCTGCTGTACCACTTGGGTCTTGTGATCCAAAAGATCCAATGATACTTGAAGTGTCAAATAGGGAAGCTGGATGGAATCTCTGACAAGCACCAATAGCACTGCAGTGCCGACCTCTAGGATTTTAAAGCAAATCTATGTCCTCTTTTGCCAGTAACTATTCTCCTTTTGAGAAGCAGGTTCTGGCTTGCCACTTGGTAGAAGCTGAATGAGGTGATCAGGCAGTTTGAGATCTAATCATAATATGGATGCTGTTGGACCTATCTCGTTATAAAGTTAGGCGTGCACAGTAGAAATCTATCATCAAGTCGAACTGGTATATAAGAGACTGAACTCAGGTCCATGACGTAGGATTGTATAGGTGGGTGGCTCAGACCGCTGCAACACCAACTCTTGTTGCTTTGCCCCCTCATTCCATGCCTGTGGCCTCCAGGGAGTTGCTTATGACAAGTTGACTGAGGGAGAAGAACTCAAACCTGGATTGTAGATGTTGTATTGTTGCTTAGTTGCTCAGTCATGTCCGACCTCATGAACAGCAGCACACCAGGCTTCACCATCCTTCATGATCTCCCAGAGTTTGCTCAAACTCATATCCACTGAGTTGATGATGCCATCCAACTATCTCATCCTCTGTCACCCCCTTGTCCTTCTGCCCCCAATCTTTCCCAGCATCAGGGTCTTTTCCAATGAGTCAGCCCTTCGCATCAGGTGCCCACAATATTGGAGCTTCAGCTTTAGCATCAGTCCTTCCGATGAATATTCTGGGTTGATTTCCTTTGGGATTGACTGCTTTCATCTCCTTGCTGTTCAAGGGACTCTCAAGAGTCTTCTCCAGCACCAGTTTGAAAGCATCAGTCTTCAGCACTCAGCCTTCTTTATGGCCCAACTCTCATATCTATACATGATTACTGGAAAAACCACAGTTTTGGTTATACAGACCTTTGTCGGCAAAGTGATGTCTCTGCTTTTTACTACACTGTCTAGGTTTGTCACGGCTTTTTTTCCCAAGGAGCAAGCATCTTTTAATTTCATGGTTGAAGTCACTGCCCACAGTGATTTTGGATCCCAATAAAATAAAGTCTGTCATTGTTTGCATTTTTTTTCCCCATCTATTTGCCATAAAGTGATGGGACCAGATGCCATGGCCTTAGTTTTTTGAATGTTGAGTTTCAAGCCAGCTTTTTCACTCTTCTCTTTCACCTTCATCAAGAGGCTCTTTAGTTCCTCTTTGCTTTCTACCGTTAGGGTGGTGTCATCTGCATATCTGAGGTTATTGATATATTGTAGATAGGTCTATATGATATGCTGGTACCACATGAAAGTGGATAGCTAGAGCCTTATAGTTCTGCTTGGGGTCGGGGGGTACTGTGAAGACAATGGTGAAGGAAAATCCTCCCACCAGTTAGAAATTCAAGCAGGATATATGACTGTACCCTAAGTCTGGGGTGAGAGGTGGTTAGAGTAGAGACCTACACTGAATCTTGGGCAGCTTCTGATGGTTTGGCTGGATGGTCAGGACCTTGAAGATTGGTGACAAGGAAATCTTGGACACAGATATGTGGGTGAACCCCTCTGAACAGGTGCAGATTGAAGATACTTGTCTCCCATGTCAATGTCTCCAAAGGGTGGCCACTGTAGAGGATCTTACAATCAAGTAGACAAAATTCTGTGCTCTGTGGCTATCAGAGAGCTTCTTTACACAGCTGCCACGGTGCCTGCTCTGTGAATGCCCATGAAGAGGCCATGCAGCAGAGACAGAGGATGCGGCCCTAACAGAACTCCCTCTGTGAAGGCTGAGCTGGCTAATGCTAGTGCTGAGGGCCTGTTCTGCAAGTGCCAGTGATTGATATGGTGAGAAATGAATTTTGCCAGAAGGGAATATAAATGTTGTCAAAAAGAGCTGGTTGAAATATCTTATGAATTCCCTTATTATGTTAAATGTTTTGATATAAGTTCATGTTTTATTTTCAAGTTAGTCATGATTTTATATTTTATTAGCAAGCACACACTTTATATTTTATTAGGAAGCACACAGTTTTTTCTTCGATTTGGAGTAGCTTGGGTGTTAGTAGTAAATCCTCTGGCCCTGCCATTGGTTAGTATTAGCTAAATCAAACAAATGGATAAATTAACCTCCACACAGAATTTCTTATCCAGTTTGCAGTCAGACTTGGCTATAATCCCTCCTCTGCCACTTAGAAGCTGTGCAACTGTGAAAAAAGTTTTTCAGCTCTCCCAGCCTCAATTTCCTAAACTAAGAAATGGAGGTGATAAACTGTCTGCATCATAGTTTGTTAAAAGGGTTACATGAGTTGGTATGTACAAAGGCTTTAGCATACTGCCTGGCACATAGTAAAAGCTCTTTACAGAGGAGCTTGTATTATTAATATGAATTGATCAAGGTTACCAGGCTCACTTGCCTCACTTCTAACCAAAATGCAATTTGTGACATTTTTGGTGAGCCTTACCTATATGGTTTCTGGTTTTGTTTTTAAAATACTGAAAGTAGCTAGAGACTACCTACTATTTTTTCATATACATTTAAACAGCTTTATTGTGATATAATTCACAATACCACAAAATTCACTTTTAAAGTATAGATTTCAGTGGGCTATAGTATATTCAAGGTAGTGCAACCATCACCACTGTGTAATTTCATTATCTCGAAGGATATCCAATCTCATAAGTAACCAGTGACCTACTTTCTGTTGCTATGGATCTGCCTGTTCTGACATTTTATGTAAATGGAATCATTCACTTTGTGGTCCTATATGCCTGGCTTCTTTCACCTGGTATGTTTTCAAAGCTCATCCATGTTGTAGCTTGAATCAGTACTTAATTCCTTTGTGTTGCTAAATAATATCCCATTGTATAGACATACCACATTTTGGCCATCCATTCATCAGCAGCTGAACCTTTGAGTTGTTCCACTTTGAGCTGCTGTGAACATCTGTGTTCAAGTTACTGTGTGGACGTGTTTTCATTTCCCTTGGGTAACACCTAGGAGGGGAGGCCACCTATTACTGGGGAACACAGACAGGTTGGAAACAGTGACTTCTGGTTCCTGGTTTACATGAGTAACCAGGCAAATGTTAAGCATTCCCCAGTGGTGTGTTGGTTAGATACCCTGGGGTTCAAAGATAGGCAATTTTTGTTGTCACAGTCTTTGCATAAATGTTCATATCATATTTGCATTGAGTTTTTCTTATGTATATGGTTAAATCAATCAGCACATTTTTTCTGACCCCATCTCCTCCCTAGAGGGTCTGCATCCTTTTCACAACTACAGAAACATATTCACTTCTTTCACCAGAATTAGTGGGAGTCCGCCCACCGTGGAGACTGATCAGTCCTGAAGGCCAGCCTAGCTAGCACCAAGCCCTGGTTAGAGAATGAGGGGTTGGCAGATACTCTGAAGAGTGACCTGATTCTCCCCCGTCACTGGTGAGACAGTGAGTGGTTTAGCTTCGTGTGCTCCCAAAGGATCTACAGACAAGAAGATTCACTGAGACCTTTCCCCAGCTTGCCCCCTCATCAGAATTCCCAGCCCACTTCAGTCCTGCCTGATCCTGATCTCCAGGGGACGGGCCTTAGGGTCTGTATGTTTAACCTGCTGTCGAGCCAGTGGGCACATTTGGGGAATGCAGATCTACAAATGCCTGCTCAGTCAGCAATCCTAGGCTTGGAGGGAAGCTCCAATCCCAGTGCCAGTTAATCTTTGAACTCAGCAGCTGAGCTTACCCCAGAATCCCAAGGGTCTTCCTTTGAAAAGACTGTCAGAGATTCACAGCCCTTGCTGGTCTCTTGCCTTGCCCACTGTCTCTCTGTGCCCAGATATGCTGCTTTCAAAGTCAGTATGACCCTGGGAGTCCTTCTGGGGGACCCTCCAAAGTCAAAACTATTTTCACAATAATACTGACTCCTTTTTTGTACGTGTGTCTTTTAAAACTCTCATTTTCTCAGGAGTTTTCAAGAGGCTACTGATGGGTAGTAGAATATGTGCTTCTGGAATCCTGTGTTTTATCATTTTTCTCAGTTTTCATTTATAATATGATAAATATTGATAGATATAAGCAACATAAACAAAAAGCTCTTTGTGGTCCTCAATAATTTTTAAGAGTGTAGAGGGATCTTTAGATGAAAACATTGAGAACCACTAGCCTAGATGAATCTTTAATAATTACTATTTTGATATATGAGTAGGGGCTGTAGGAGTGAGAGGAGAGTAAAGAATGAAAAAGGAGGAGAGTAGGGAGGAGGGGGGAGGGAGGAGGAGGAGAGAGACAGGAAAGAGGTGAAATAAGAAGAGAGAGGAGGGAGGAGATGGGGGGACAAGGGGAAGAATGAGGGAGAAGGGACAGGAGGAGTTGAAAGGGAGAGGAAGAGAACAGGAAAGAGAAGAGGGGAAGGAACTTTAGAGCTCTCCCATTTCCTAGATGAGAAAACTGAGGCTGAGACGCATTTAGATATTATACATCCTGTAAAAGTGGAAAAGCTCGGTCTATACCTTTGTCCCCATGCTGTCCCCCTCTTAAGATCAATCAAGTGTTAGAAGGTTCATCTTCTAGCCAGATGGCCAAGCAACTAGGAGAGGCCAGGTTGCAAGGGCCCTTACAACTTGTGCTATTTTAATGTCACTTACAATCCAGTGAAGGGTGTGGAGGAGGCCCAGGATGGGAAGAGGGAAGTGGATAATGGGTGCCTGCTCTGGCCCGGGGCTCACTCCAGAGCCCTGAACCCAGACCCACTTTTGGGAGGCCAGCCACTCACTCCCTCAAAGCAGCTGCCTTGGTTTTAGTTCACAAGTATTTCCCACACCACCTGTCATCACACACCTCCTTGTTAAACCCCTTCTCTGCCTAACCTCTCTCTTCTCTGCCTGGAAAGGGGGTGTCCAAGGCTGTGCACACCTGTGGGCACATCTGTTTGGCCTCTTCACCACAATGGTTTAGTTCCTTTGCCTCCTAGTCCTCTAAAAAAAAAAAAAACAGAAAACCTGATTAACAAACTCCACTATTATTTTCAATATGCAAAATACGATTTATTACCTAAAGTTTGTCCCTGAATATTCATGTAACCTGGTATATTCCCAACCAAGTATTTCATCAATAATACTACTAAACAACACCCAGGTGAGATTAAATACTTATAGGGGAGGTGGCTTAATGCCCATGGGAGTGAGTGTTGGAGGGAATACTTTCTTAGGGCCCTGAGAATCACTTTTCTGATTGTAAAGTTAGCGACTACTTTGCACGTATACTGACAATGCCTCCCACCTCTCCAAATATATAACCTTGAATCTGCTTGAGCCTGACTGACTTCTCCTTTGCCCCGTCTTCCTTCACTTCTGGGAGGCCCAGGTCAGACTGCAGACACATGGAAGAGTCTGTGGGAGACAGGGGAGGAAGTACCATAACTAGGAGCCCAGGAACAAACTTGGGAGAACCTTCTGGGAGCAGAGCTTGGGGATTTCACAGAACACGTTGTGGGGCCAGCACTTCAGCAGTTGGCAGGAACCGGGTGGACCTGCTGCCCGTTCCCCTGAGCCCCTGCGCGGAATGGAGAAGGTGCTGAAGGCTGTCCCTCCGGGCTCTGCTCCCGCCCATCTTCTCTCTTGTTCTCAGGGTGGGTAGAGCAGCAGAGATGGAGGGGGTGCAGACTGGGGGAGGTGAGTAGGGGCTTTTCACATTGTCTCTCTCTACTCCAGGACCTACTGTGTAGTAAAACCCTTAGTAAATGTTTTCTTGGCAAATGATTGAATATAACCATTATGTTTATTTTAAAAGAGTTTATGGAAAAGCTGGCCTGGGGAATTTCTGACTCATTTTGACATCTGAATGAGTAGTTTTGTGGGTGGGCCTGCGCACCCCCTGAGGTTTACAGGGGCACGAGGCCCAGGCCTATCCGAGAGCTCCAGGCGTCGAAGGGCCTCTGCACAGCAGAGCCTGGGGCTGGGCCCGCAAAGCTGGAACTGCCATCAGGAGAAGGGCCGTGAGAGGGGACCGAGGATCCGGGGGACTCAGCACGCGCAGCCCTCGGACACCACAAGGACGTGGCCCGGCAGACCCAACCACCCAGAGGGCAAGCCTCACCCAGGAATGGTTTTTGGTTTGAGGTGACCTTTTATTTCCCTAAGTTTGCATGCTGTCTTCATGAATGAGGAGTTTTCTAAAACAAAGGATAAGCTTCTACACTTGAAAATAAGGGATCCTATAACTAAAGCACTTGGTATCGTCCAGAAGGATCTGCTGAATTTTAAATAAAGGCAGGATATTATGTTTTTTCCTCCATATAAGTGAAGCAAAGACATCATCATTCAAGAGCTATCAATCTGTGAGTGTAATTACATTTGCAATGCAATAAATACAAGTATAACTGATATGGACAAGATTCACTTTAGCCTGAGTAGATGCTATTAATCCTAATACATCTAATACCACAAATCGGTTTTCAAATAAGTTTACTGTCCTCTGTTCCCACACAGAAAGGTTTTGGTTCCTCTGAGAAGCGTTTGTGTCCCAAACAGCACTCAGCTTTTCCCTCTAATGATAGAAAATGTCCCGTCCTCCTGATACAAGCCACCGTCACAAGATGCACAGATCAAACCTGTGTATTTTACCCATATCTCTGCATCCTTTGTAACATGGAAATGTTTTACCTGAAAAAAAAAGACAAGAGGAGGCAAGACTGAAAAGGATACTTTCACAATAAAACCACATGTAAAAGAATTGATTTTTGTCTCATTACATTTGGAATTGGAATTTTCTTCTAAGACCAAGTAATGTGGTCCTCACATAGTCCATTAAAATCAGCAGTTCCTGGGGAAGGTTTCAAATGTCAGAATGTACACTGAGAAAAAACAGCTCTTAAAGTGCTCCGAAAAATAACTTGATTCCAGGAAACAAAATGGAATATAGTAAATGGTCAATTCTACTGGGAATAGTAGAATTCAACCAGGACTAGAGAATGAGTTGAGACTAGTATAATTTATAATAATCTTAAAAACAGATATATTTTCAAAAATGTTCAAAATGAAAAACACTGTACTGGAAGGTGTTCTCATAGTGTTGGAGGTTCATACTGGGATCTTTCCAGGGTGATGGTTTTAATAGTAATGTTGGAGACATTTGGTGAACTTTCAGTCACAGAGTTGCTCACTTGAAGCTAAGTTGCAAGAAACTCTCAGACTCTCTAGAAGTAAGATATATTTACATGTGATGATTTCAGATTCTATTCTCAGGTGCCTATGTGCACTGTGATTAAGCCCAGACCTGCAAAGACACAAACAGATAATCTTCAGTCTGTTTTTCAGTTGACATTTGTAAAACCTGAGTTTAAAGAGAGAAAATCAAAGTCTATAATACACAAACATACACACTGCGTCCAAAACAGAGCACTCACAGGTCTTAAAAGGATAATACTTCATTCCTAGCAACTCAAAGGTGCTTCTTTGCCCCTTGCTTTCCTTCTCCCTTAGTTAACTGTCTGAAGGGCATCTGTGGCTCCCTTGCTAAGGAATGGTAATTTCTAGACAGACCACCAGAATCCTCTGTATGCATCCAGCTCTCTGGGTATACTAACATGGCTTTATTAATTTAGCAAACTCTTGCCTAGGATGATGAAATCACAAATAACTTCACTGTTTATTTCTCGAATTTTGAAAAAATCCATTTATCCTAAGACTGGACTATTCAATTACTCATTTTAGAAATGACACACACTTCTTAGGATAATATGCAGCATCAAATGGCCAGCTACTTTTCTAGACAGTCTTTGAAATTCTCTCCCTCCTCTGACCCTGTGTCCAGCAAACAATCTTAAGCTATGCCCCAAATTTGTTCAATCCTACTTAAGTCCCTCCATCAAAAGATTTACCTTCAATCAGACCCCTAAAACCTTTGGCAGATAAATATCTGCCTTTGCTCTCTCTTTCTGAAATGCTAATAAGACTGTCAAGTTTGTGATCTTCCACAATGAAGTAAGTTTTGCTTGCTGAACAGTTTTTTGGTGGCATTTCTAAGGAGCCAACACCTGACACAGTCATGGAGCTCTTTGAGAATCTAATAAAGCCATAAGGACACTATTTCTGGAAAAATGCACACATATACACAATTTAGCATATAACTGCATGGACTTCATAGGTCTCCTGAAGCCTCTGTGTGGACTTCACAGGGGTCTGTGACTGGATAAGGACCCTGGTGCTCCTGGGAGGTGAGATTGGCAATTGGATCTGTCACAGGCTGGAATCAGACTTTTAGGGTATCTGTGCTGGAATACCTGCACTGATGGGAAACTCACTACCTTCCAAGGCAAATCATTCCTCTGTGGCTATAGACTTGAAATTAGAGCTCTCTTTTGGCTTCCCAGGCCCATCCTAGCTTACTCTGACCTCTCCGCTTTCAAGAAGACCAATCACTCCTGCTCTCACACACACGGTAAAGTAGAAAAGCTTCTCTCTTACTCTGAGGGTATGATCCCATGATCCTGAGCAAAAGGCAGTCCCATCAGGGGAAACTCGCAGAGTACTAACACGGTTTTCATGTCCAAACAAGATGGAGACTCGAGACCCTTTGAGGACATCCCAGACGTTGATGGTATAATCATTGTATCCAGCAAACAGCAGGCGACCTTAAAGCAAGAGGTAAGATGGTCACTCAACCAGTTCCTTCCTTTTGTTTTTCTTTTCATGACTCTCATTCTTGCGCTGGTTCATTCATTCATTCAATAAACAGTGCTTTAGTGCCCACTATGTGCCAGGCATTGTGGTTTGCCCTGGGGGTTCAAAGAGGAGAGAGCACAGTTGCTGGCCCCTGTGGAGGGTGATGGTGGGCAGGCTGACTCCTGTATCATGGCAGCGCTGTGTGGAAGGGGCTGTAATGGAACTGCTCAGCTATGTGTAAAGTGCTACATGATTATAGAGGAAAGGGGATCAAAGAGGATACTATGGGAGAAGCACTATTTGAGTTGGCCTTTGAGGGTTGAATAGGAGTTTGCCATGCAGAGAAGGGAGGGAAAATGATGTTCCAGGCAGCAGCAGCAGCACAAAGGCACAGCTGCATGACTAGAAGGTGTCTGGGAGAACCGAATGGTCCACTGACACAATATACCAGTGCTGCCCTAACTTTCCCTGGGAGCCTCTCTAGCTGTGAAGGCAGAGGTGACATGAGCTTCGGGGCATTAAGAAGGGGACTCTCACTTCACTCTCTCCACCTCTGAAAAAAGTCCCTTTTCAAGTATGAAGGGGAAAAATGGAAGGCTAGAGAGGAAATGCCTAAAGGCACAGAAGATGGAGTTCTGATATATCATTGTTCTGAAGAAGAGTGTGAGATGGGCCCAGCCTTCATTTATGGGCTGGGAAAGCTGCTTCAGGCTGGGCAAAATGTGGTGTCAAAAATGCACTGGAGGAAAACCCATGTAAGCGCAGACTCTTAGCACACGGGGCCATAGGAAGCTCAGCTGAGGGGAAGCTTGGTAGATTCTCTGAGTTCCTGTTTCACAGTCCCAGGAAAATCTCACCACTGAGGGAGAAGTCCACGCTGGAAGCTCCGAAGATGATGCTCTCTTTGGAATAGATGGCGACCTCCCTGTCTGCCCGGAGGTCATAGAGGCGACACTGGGGTGGCAAAGAAGACAAAGAGGCACTTGTTTCTGGGTCCTGTTTGGTGCATCAATGATCACAGAGCTACAGGCAGGTGCCGGTAGCTTGTGTGGTTTGAGGGTCAAGGCGAAAACCTTTCGTTTTCTCTCAGTATTTTCTTCCTCAATCCCAATTCTTATTATATCCCCATGGAGTACTGGAGATTCGAAGAAACAGCAAATGCAGATTTCTTTAGTACAAAAAACAAAATGTAAGCCTTCTTTTTTTTCTGATAAGGAATATGTGTTCACTGTAGAAAATTCAGAAAATCTCAGAAATGCATAAAGAAGGCAATCCTAGAGATATTTACTAACACCTGGCTACTTCCTTCAGTCTTAATTTACTTTAAAAAAAAATTACTTATTTGGCTGCAACAGGTCTTAGTTGTGGCACACACAGGGTCTTCAATCTTTATTGTGGCATGTAGCATCTTTACTTGCAACATGTGAAATCTAGTTCCCTTATCAGGGATCGAACCCGCAACCCCTGCATTGGGAGCTTGGAGTCTTAGCTACTGGACCATCAGGGAAGTCCCAGTCTTAATCTATTTTATGTGTGGATTTAAATGGGGTGGATGTTTCATTATTGCTTCAATTAGCCTGATGTTATGAACATTTTTAAATACCATTAATAATCTTCAAAAAATAGGATTAACGTGGTTGTTATATTCCTCATGTGGATATATCAGAATCTACTTAGCCATACTCTGCTAAGTGTCTTGATTGTGTCTAATTTTTCTCTTTTATAAATAAAAATTATGAGGAAGCCATGATCATTTTGCTATCAAAATCTTTATATGCATCTTTAATATTTTCTTAGAATAGCTAAGGATGAAATCCTTAGAATTGTTTCCAAGAAATTCCAAAGGGTAAGGAAAGCTTTTAAAATTCCCCAAATGTATGCCCTTGTATTTTGTTAAATATTCTTTGGCATACAGAAGTTTTAAATTTTCATTATTATCAAACTCTCAATCTATTCCTTGTAATTTCTTTCACAATAGCCAACTAAGGTGAAATTCATTATTTAATAAGATATTTGCTATTTTGAGAGCACAATAAGGTTGTGCCTACTGAAAAACAGGTCAACATTATTTTGCAACTAGTATCAAAAACCTTAAAATTAGGCCAGTTTTTGACTCATCAAGTTTACGTATAAGAATTCATCCTAAGGAAAAAATAAGAGAGGTACCAAAAATACTTGTTTATGCAGTTTTTAACAGGGAAAAAAAAATCCTTAAAAAAACCTAAATGTCCCCAGACTGAATATTGGCTAGTAAATGATGACATATCCATAGTATGGAAAACTACTCAATCATTAAGAAAATATAATGTAGGAAAGTATTTATTGGCATGAGAAAATGTTCACAACCTATTGCTAAGTGCAAAAAGCAAATTATAAAAGAGCATTTGTTTAAAAAGTAAAAAGAAAGGACTTTACTCAACTGTGATTTTTCTTGTGTAGAATGATAAACAAAATTTAGTTTTTTCCCCCTAAGTTTTCTTTATAGAAGTCATATCAGTTCTGTAATCAGGAGAACAATTATTTTTGAAAAATAAAATTAGGTCAGCATATCTCTCCTTCAAATAGGAAAAGCTCTTGAGGACTTAAACATACCGTAGCATCATCTGATCCTGAAGCAAAGGCATCTCCACTTGGGTAGTACCTGCAGAGAGGAAGTGTGGGGAAAAGGCACTTAGAGCAGTGATTCCCAATCCTAGGTGACCATCAGAAGCCTCTGGGAAGGCCGTCCCATGCTGGGCCCTTGGACGCTAGGGACACAAGGACTCCTCATTACAGAGACCAGAAACGGAGGCTCAGCCGGAAGGCCCCACTGGCCTACCTTAGTTTCTTCTCTGTAAACGGGACAGTTGACACTGGCCTTGCACAGTGTTGGTGAGGATAAATGAGACAATATGTCTACTTGTATCTGACACTGAACACAGGCAGATGCCTACATCCTTACTTTCCCTTGATCACACACCTCATTCCAAAGGCTCAGGGATAAGACAGTGCTTATAAACACAGACACTGCAATTGAATGAAAGGGGACTGCACTGACCACTCACTACAGGGGATATTTTTGGCAAGTGACTTCAACTGGCCAAGCCTCAGTTTCTTCATCTGAAAAGTGAGGAGGATAATGCACATTTCCTATTGTAAAGACTGAATAAGATAGTATACACAAAAAACATGGCATGGGGACAGATAAAATGCATGCAACAAATGACATTATTACTGTTACAGTCATCCTCTCCTCAATAATCAGGCCTTCTGGAGAGAGGGTACTGTAAGTTGAGACCTGATGAACAAGAGAAGAGGGTTCTGGGTTGAGGGAACAGCATGGGTGAGAGAATATGCAATTTTAAGCTGTTATTTCATGAATATATAGGAATTTATTTTTGTGGCTTTATAGTCTATCCTGTATCTTAATAACTTCATCTACTGTAGTAACTTCTCAAATTATTTCCTTGGATTTTCTAGGTAAATCTCTATACATCTGCAAAAAGTGATGGTGTTTTCCCTTCCTACATTTAAGGTCAGTGAGCTAGAAAATCCTCATGAACATTTCTACTAATAAAGTAATTATTCTTACTGTGTTCTAGCTTTTAAGGGGAGTGAGTCTAGTGCTCTCCTCTAAGTATAATGAAGATTCTTCAGTGGTTGTACTTTAAATGCTGTCCTGATGGTGCCATGTCTCAAATGTATACGTTAAGTCCTGACCTCTCTCTTGGAATCCAGTTCACAGATCCAGCTACCTACTTGACGTCTCCACTTGGTCATACAGTAGCATCTCAAGCTTGGCTAGCCCGAGACAGAATTCCAGAGTCCATGTGCAACCATTGCCTTCTCCCTGCACTGCTTCCAACCCTTCCGCAAACGGATCAATGTTTACTGTCCCTTATAAAAGATTCGGGGTCCCTGAGCTCAGGGTTCTCCTCCTGAAATGCAACTCCTTGCATGCCCAGGTGTCATTTAGTCCTTTGCATGTCACCCTGTGATAACTAGCATAGCTACAACCATCACTATTAGTAATCAACTATCCTTCATCTCTAACCCAGGAATCTTATGCCTTTTTCCAGCATCCACAAAACTCTGGCAGCCTTAACTTGATAGTCTGGAATTAGGCTAAAATCTCATATCCTTCCCAATTCTAAACCTTTCTATCCTCACAGTGTCTTCTTTAGTTTCAGCCATTATCATTTCTATCTGGAACTCACACAACAGCCTTCTAACTGGCCATAATACTTCCATTCTCATCCCCCTACAATGCATTCTCCATACAGCAGCCAGAGTGATCTTTTAAAGACAAAACATGCATCATGTTAGCCACCTCAAGTGGTCACCTGACCTTTTGTTAGGTCCCTGAGCATCTCATCTCCCTGATCCTCCTCCCAGCTCTTTGAAAGCCTGCCTCCTTCACTATCCTGGTCTCAATTTAAACATCAATTTCTCAGAGATGCCTGACCAGTCAAAGAAATAACCTATGTCCATCACAGTTCCCTGTTTTACTTTTCAATGGAACTTATCAGTATCTTTGTACACTGTACATTTATCTGTGCTTTGTCTTGTCTGTCTCCTAAAGGAAAGTAGAAATTTTTATCTTGTTTAAAACAGTATTCCCAGTTCCTGGAATAATGTTCAGCAAATAAGTACTTAATAAATATTGGTTGAATGAATGAACAAAAAACACTGACTTTGTTTAGACAGGAAATAGCCATTGCCTCTGGTGCAATTACACTGAAATTCTCCAAGAAATCTGGAGTACCGTTCGGTCTCACCACACATCAGCTCTTATTGCTGGAAAAGCCTCTCAGCAAAGTAAACTGAGGCTGGAGGCTAAGCATTAGCCCAGGCTGGGAGACAGCATAAAATAGAGAAGCAATGTGAACATTCTACTCACGGACCGGACACTGTTGATGTCAGATTCGTGTGTTTCAAAGGCCTGCACGCACTGTCCAGAGCGCATGTCCCACACCATGGCTTTCTTGTCACATCCCTGCAAACGCAAAGTTACCCAGAGTTATGACTCCTGCAAGGACTGCCCACAGACAGGTATGAGTTCTGGTTATGTCACAGAGATCGTTTAGTTCCCATTAGTAAATGGCTCTGACAACATGCCTCTTTTTTTCTGAGACGAGCTTTATTTAAGGCCACTTCCCTCTGACCTCAGGAAGTCAGAGCTAGGTCCTGGGCTAAGTGGAGCAAAAGAAGGTACCCAGACATCCTTTTTAGCATGTTTTCTTCTCTGCTATCTTTCTAAATGGCTGCAAGTTCTCCAGGGCCTCCTTCTCCCCTTCCTCCTAGGCATTTCTCTTCATGTTTCCCCCTCCTCTTTATCTCTGCTTCTATAAGGCCAGAGGGGAGGGCAAGTGGCCAGTGGGTATGGGGGGACCTCGCAGGCTTGCCTCAGGTGTGTGGGGCAGCCTGAACACAGGTGGACAGCCAGGTGCTCCTGGCCAGCTGCAGCCCAGCAGCCTAGTCAGGGGGCTGCCCACAGTCAGCTGGGTGGCTCAGGCAAGTCACCTCCCTGGGTTTCCGCCTCAACACCTATACAATGAACCCTTTCTGGGTAGTTAACATGATCCAGAGACTCAAAAACACCAAGCTTATGCATACTATCCTGATCCTAGGAGCATTTTGATAAATTTCTGCAGAGCAGTCTGTGATCAAGCATGAGCAGTATAATTAGACTCTCAAAGGACAAACAGAAGGAAAAATGGGTTAAAATTAGATTGTTGGTTTCAACTCAGAGGAAGGGGTGGGTGAGGTACCATATTGATGTTTCAGAAAGACCTGCAATGGGGATTCAACTCTCCAACATCTTTACTGAGAATGTGGACAAAGGAATCAGAGTGTCTTCAAATCTTTGGAGGACCCTAAACCACGAAGTTTAGTACTCTGAAAGAGACAATATGATCTATAATGATATCAACAATCTGAAAAAACAGCGTAGTTGATTGGAGATAAATACAGTTATACAAAGACATGGGAATGAAACTTACACAGATGGGGCCAAATATCCAAGAAGAAAATCAGGGTCCCTGCCAATTAGAGGCTTCACAACCCTTACCTGAGGTCCAGAACTAAGAAGTGGACAGCTTGGAACAAAGGGCCTTTATGTCTTCCAGCTGCAAACATCATTAGATGGTGTCTGCATCTCTGTCCCCTCCCACCACTGTCTCTTCACAGAGATGAGACAGGACCAGGGTCGGGTCAGCCAGCTCAGTTCTCCACCTTTATTCCCAGATGTCCTAGAAATACTTGCCTTTCCTACTTGCATAACACACTAGAAACTCTTCCCTCTACTATTCCTAATATAGTAGAATATATGGGGAGGTGGGGGGCAAATGCTCTTGTGCCTTCCACACAATTTACAAAGGATGAAATGTGGAGTCAGGCAGCAAAGGTGGGTCCCAGGTGTCCTAACTCCTCATGTGGTGCTCCTCTGCCATGGTGGCCTGCCTGCCCGACTCTGAGCTTTCAGACACACCGTTCCCTGTGCCTGGGAGCTGGAGGGGCTGGAGACTGGCAGGGGTGGGGCGGGAGAGTGTCCCACTGGTGCCAAAGCCCTGATCACACCACGGCTATGCCTCACCGCTGTTTCTACCCGAGCTGCCTGGTGCCCTGGCTGCTGTCTCTACTGCTCTTGGGTGCCAACTCTCTGCTACTCAGCCAAGGAATCTCAGCCCCACTCCACGGGTGTCCCGTCTAGTCCCACAAATTGACAGGAAGTGCCACCCTGAGGCTCCCTGGTGGACAGAGGGCTCCTAGAGATCTTCCTTGGATCTTTACCCCGGACACGAAGGTGTTCCCGGTTTCCGACGGGGCCAGGTCCAGGCAGAGCACGTCAGCCCCATGCCCATGGAAGCTCTGCAGCAACTGCCCGCTCTCCACATCCCACAGGGCACACGTGCCGTCGCCGCTCGCTGTCAGGATCTGCCGCCGGAAAGGACAGGAAGGGGGTCAGTAGGGCCTCTGGGGAAGCCAAGCAGATGCTTGCAGTTCCACAGGGGAGAGAAGGCTCCTTACACACACACATCTGCTGAATCTGGACTCAAGCACAGAACTCATTCGCCAGGACTGAGAAGGACAATCTATTTTTGACACCCTTGCTGTTGCGAGCTGTTTACACGCCTGTCCTCTTGCAGAGGATGAAATCTGGAGGCCTTCCTGCAGTACCTGCCTGTCTGACCCGCAGGAAGCGCTCTGCGAATACCTGCTGAACAGAACCCCCAGCGGGCCCCACAGGCAGCCAAGCCCAGCACGGAGCTTCCCAGACATTAACGTGCACCCACACCCAGGGCTCCCCGGGCCACTGAGGGGTGCGGACACACACATGCAGGACCAGGCCTCCGCTGTGTGCTGACCGCGTCCAGGCCCTCTGCTAGGTGGCAGGGCTGCAGAAAGACTGTGCCTTGGCTGCTGCTCTCCTGGGGCTCCGTTAACAGGATTGGCAGGAGACCCATCTAACTCCCTGTTCCCATGTTAATCAATTCCAGGGCAAGCCACACCTTCCTAGTGCTGCATTAGACGATACTGAGACCAAACAAAAATAAGCTAGCTGCCTGCTCCAGGAAATAACCTGATCCTGTGAGATAAGACTCTGAACTAAACAACTTACTTATCGGGACTAATAGCTTTGTAAAAAATTCATGAAACAGAGTGTGCTGTGCTAAGTCGTTTTAGTCATGTCTGATTCTTTGCGACTCCATGGACTATAGCCCACCAGGCTCCTCTTTCCATGGGTTTCTCCAGGCAAGAATACTGGAGTGGGCTGCCATTTCCTTCTCCAGGGAATCTTCCCAACCCAGGGATTGAGCCTAGGTCTCCTGCGTTGTAGGCGGATTCTTTATCATCTGAGCCACCAGGGAAGTCCTCAGTCTAGCTCTTTAATGGAAATTTTTCATGGCATACTCTTTGATCAAAGAAATGAATAGTTTTTTAAAAGTTAACAGTAAATTCTTAATCTTTAAAATATTTTAAATATTTGTGATCTTCATTATAATGTAAGTAAAAAATAAAATTTGAAAATCAAACATTCATTATGATAAATTCACTAAACAGATCCTCTAACGCCACTGTCACTCATTTATTTTGGAATGCAGAGAACGTGCAGGTCTTACACCAGCCTTTTGAGGTTTTCATTATTCATCTTAGATCCCAGGGCTGGAAGGATGCTTAGTTCATGAGTTCAGTGGTAGCCAAAAAAGGCCATGCATCTGAATCACCTGTGAAGCTTCGTGTTAATAATAAAATAATAAGAGCTAGCATTTATTGATATTTACCAGGGTTTATACCAAGTACTTCTGGAGAAGGAAATGGCAACCCACTCTAGTATTCTTGCCTGGGAAATCCTAAGGACAGAGGAGCCTGGTGGGCTACAGTTCATGGGGTTGCAAAAGAGTCAGACACAATTTAGCTACTAAGCAACAACACTAAATATTTTACACAAATCATCTCATTTAATGCTCAGAAAACTTCACGAGGGAGGAATATACTACCATCCTCACTTGTAGGTGAGAAAAACGAAACACAGAGGATAATAAAACCTTGTTTAGAATTGACCAGCTAGAACATCAGACTAAACATCTTCTGTTGCTTTGGCTGTTCCTCACACCCAAAGACATGAGGAGTGGCCACGGCCACAGCCAGGGCCACCGTGCCCCCTACTGCACAGACCTGCGAGACTCCTGGTGGCAAACAACAGGGTCAACACCGGCCTCCCAATCAGAACACTGCCCTCAGACAGCAATCAAACAATCACCCATCGCCAGGTCTCCCTACCACTACCCTTGCTGGCCCACCTCCTGACATCAGTCAGCTGAAACCAGAATGGGCTTTAGTCTGATTCAAGACAATCTCCTCCTTCAAATAAACCCAACCTGCCCCAAGCCCTGCAATGGCTCCCTACCATCTGTAGGGTCAGCTCCACCATGCAGGGCATGTAACCTAGTCCTCCTAACTCTCAGGCTGCCTGCCTCCCACAGTGCTCCCCTCACACCTCACTGGCAACACACTGTCCTCCAAGGCAGCCTCTCAAGGCATGTTTATGAGCCCCCGCTCCTGCTCCAGGCTCCCAGCCTCCCCGTGTTCAGCCACCACTAGGAGCTGGCCATGTGGGTGGTGGCATCTATGAGGGTTTGCTGGAGAGGTGTGACAAAGGCACTGCAGGATGTTTAGAATTCTGAAAGAAAATGTAGCCTATGTATTACCTCCACTTTGTGGCTTATTCAAAGTAGGGCACAGATTTTCTATATGAAGCCTTTTCTTTTCACATTTGTTAAAACAGAAGTCTAATGTAGGTACAGTCAGGTGTGTCAAATGCACAACTCTGAAAGTCAGCACCCAGTGAAATTCTATATACAGGAGGGCTTTGGGACCACTTCTCCAACTCAAGACAGGAATTTCCACCACCCCAGAAGGTTCCCTGATCCACTCCCACCCCCACCAACTCAATTAGAGGAGGAGGTTTGATATGGCAGGGAATTCATTTCAACTATACCAACAATCAACAGCCCCAAGTTTATCCATTTCTGATTTTATGAAAAATAATAATGTAACTAGGAGTTCCCTGGTGGGCTAGTGGTTTGGATTCCGCACTTTCATCATTATGGCCTGGGTTCAATCCTGGTTGGGGAACTGAGATTCAGCAAGCCATGTTGTGTGGCCAAAATTATAATAAATAAATAAATAAAAAATATTTGGGCTTCCCAAATATTTTACCACTAGTGCTACCTGGGCTTCCCAGGTAGCACTAGTGGTAAAGAACTCGCCTACCAACGCGGTAGATAAAAAAGACGTGGGTTCGATCCCTGGGTTTGGAAGATCCCCTGGAGGAGGGCATGGCAACCCACTCTAGCATTCTTGCCTAGAGAATCCCATGGACAGAGGAGCCTGGTGGGATATGATCACAGGGTTGCAAAGAGTCAACTAAAGTGACTTAGCCTTCTATATAAGATTATATATATGTATAAATTATAGTACATATAAAACCAGTAAGAAGCAACAAAAGCTTCCTCTTAGGGCCAACTGCTGGAGCGTACACACTCTCCTGTGAAGAGGGACACTGGAACAGTTTCCTCACCTGCACCCCCTCTTTAGTTCTCCATGACTGAACTTGCTCCCCCTGCAGGCTGGCCCATCATCACCCAGGCCCCTGATTTACCTGCATGTCAGAATTGGTGAAGCTGCAGGCTGACAGGTAGTTGGTGTGCATAGCAACAGACTTCTTTTTGGCAGCCATGTTTTCATTTTTGTCGAATGTCAGAGGATACACAGAACATTTATTATCCAAACCACTAGCAGGGAAAGACAGAAGGGTCAAATGTTAATACAGGGCGATAGAACATGTGTATACTTTCTCATTCACACACACTTTCAAAATGTTTTCCTTTGGCAGTATTATATGTTGTAACCTATCCCTAAACTTTTACTTTGAATATTTTTAAATGGATAGTAAAACTGAAAGAAAAATAGTACAATGAACTCCCAGATCCCTTCACATGCATTCGCTAACTTAACATTTTGTCACATTTGTGGGTGCAAATTCTGAACCATCTGAATGCAAGTTGCAGATATGACATATTACATCTAAATACTTCAATCTGCAAATTACATCTCCTAAAAATAAGACCATTCCTTTATAATCACTAACTCATTATCACATCTGAGAAAACTAACAAAAATTCTGTAACACCATGTAGTAAGCCATCCATATTCAATTTCCCAACTGTCTCAAGGATCCAGAGCCCAAATAGGTCTACACATTACATTCTGTTTTTATATCTTTTTAAGATCTTTTAATGGAGAAGGAAATGGCAACCCCCTCCAGTATTCTTGCTGGAGAATCCCAGGGACAAGAGAAGCCTGGGGGGCTGCAGTCCACGGGGTTGCAAAGAGTTGGACACGACTGAGCGACTAAACAACAAGATCTTTTAATGGAGGATGGACACAGTTTTTGACTGTTTATAATGAGAGATGTCACTAGGTCAGTTGTCTTACAGAATGTCCCATAGTCTGGATTTGTCGTGTTGGGCATGGCTACCCACTCCAGTATTCTTGCCTGGAGAATTCCATGCACAGAGGAGGCTGGTGGGTACAGTCCATGGAGTCACAAAGAGCTGGACAGGACAGAGCCACTAACACTTTTACTTTTATTAATGTTACATTTAAGTATAACATTTTTAGCAACAATACAAATGTAATATATAAAGGTGATACTGTGTATTTCTTTCTTACTGCTTCACTTTAGGAGGCTTGCCATGCCTCTCAGCCCAAGATTGGTGGTGTCAACTTTGATTACTTGGTCAAAGTGGGGACCACAAGATCTTTCCACAATAAGGGTGACTTGCTGCTGATTACAAGCATACCTTGTTTTACTGTGTTTTGCTTTATTGCATTTTTTACAAATTGAAGGTTTGTGGCAACCCTACCTCAAGCAAGTCTATCAGTGTAATTTTTCCAACAGCAATTTGCTCACTTCATGTCTCTGTGTCACGTTTTGGTAATTCTCACAATATTACAAACTTTTTCATTGTTATTACATTTTTTATAGTAATCAGTGATCTCTGATGTTACTACTGTAATGGTTTAGGAATGCCACAAATTGTGCCCATTTACAATGGTGAACTTAATCGATAAATGCCGTATGTGTTCTGACTGCTCCACCGCTCAGCTCTTCCTCCATCTCTCTTCTTCCCATCAGGCCTCCCTATTTTCTGAGACACAACAATAATGAAATTAGGCCAATTATTAACCCTACAACGGCCTCCAAGTGTTTAAGTGAAAGGAAGCGTTGCAAGTCTCTCACTAAATCAAAAGCCAGAAATGATCAAACTTAGTGAGGAAGGCATGTCAAAAGTGTTAAGATCCATTACTATCATCATGTCATGTGATGCTGAAATTATCTGAAATTTGGACACTGAGGGTCCCTTCAAGTGGGTCTTGTTTTCCATTTTATATGACTCCTCTGATATGACTGAATGTTCCCTTGCTTCCTGGAACAAGGAAACACCTTCAGCCTGCTTTATTCTCTTCCTGCCCAGACTGACTCCAAGAAGCCCTGTTTCTATTTAGTGGGGGATGACATTTGGGAGGGGTACTCTTCTGGGGCCCTGTGCCTTTCTAATTGCTTGGAGGTACAGGTGTAGGGCTGGCTAGTTTATGACCAGTGACTGGCCTTGGCAAGCTTGTTTGTAGATCATGTGGGTGAGAATGACTGGCACCTGGCTGTGACAACGGACAAGCATGCTCTAGACTGGGCTTCCCTAATCCTCGAGGTGAAACATGTTCTCCTATTCTGAAGCTTCAGGGTCACTGCTGGAGCTCTGTTGTGATACTCACACTTAGGATTAGTTGTAATGCTATGCGAAGCAGAAAAGTTCTGCAGTGTGATGCAAGGAGGAAGGCCATGTGACTTCACAGGGAGGGGATGACCGGACGCTCCACGTTTAGACCGCTCCTGGACTGTGCCCTGTGCATCTCCTCCTTTGGCTGGTTCTAATTTGTATCCTTTCACTGTGATGAAACTGTGAGCTTAAAGTTAAGCATAGCACTTTCCTGAGTTCCAGTTAATTACTGAGCCTGATTGTAATTTTGGGGCATGACCCTGTGCCTATGTGAAGTTGAGGGGAGTCCAGTGGGGTTTATGCCATGTAACTGCTGAGCCGTCCAAACTCCTTCACATCTATCTTATAACTGTCATATGTATATAAATGTGTTACACATGTATGTGTGTTCACATCTATATTTATATCTATATCTTTTATTGTGGTCACTTCATATCCTTTTAGGAAGTACTTGGGTATACAGTTTATATAAATATTGCCATCCAGTTATAAAATGATACAATCTACTTTTGAGTTATTTAAAAAATGGGAAAATATGAAATGCATGTATGTAAGCAGGGTCTCCAGAGGGATCTCAGCAAGTGGAGAGAATGGGAAGTTGCCTCAAAACAACGGTCTAAACAGAGAAGATGTGGGGAGTGATGGCTGGGGTGACCCTGGCTGGAGAAGGCTCCAAAGTTTTTGCTTGGAGGTCCAGCATTTTCATATTTGAAATAATATGATTATTTTCTCTTGATTATAAAAATAACATATGATTTAAAAAAATGAAAATAGACAAAATTGTGACAAAGAGAAAAACACCAAAGTCTCAATATCCAGGAGAACTACAATTGCATTTTGGTATAGTTCATCACAGCCTTTATGCTGACACTTCTTCTCTAAATATGGCTGAGCTCTTACTATAGAAATACTTTGAATGGTCCAGAATTAACACAAGGACAGGAAATTATCATGGTTGCAATTCTCACTGCCAACTCTGTTAAACTGAGCACAAGAAAAACAGATTAAGGCACAATATTCCTATTAATCTTGATGCTCTTTTCACTTACTGTCATTAAGAATTTCCTTTTTAACAGCTGCATAATATTCCATTCAATTCATGTACCACCATTCACTTAATTTCCTTTGGTGCACATATTGTTCCCCTTTTTGCTTTATTTTAAATAACAATACAATAAATGTTATTGCTCATATGTTTTCTTCTATCTTTCTTTCTTTCAAACAAGTTCTTAAATGTGGAATCACTAGATCAATGGTCATAAATTTTTCAAGGCTTTGAATACATATTACCAACATGCTTTCCAAAATATCTGCAGAAATTTGTGGTCGCTGCCAACAGCATCTGAGAGTGGAGAGAATAGATTTTAAACTTATACTCATGTCAATCTGTAATGAAAATAAATTATGAAAGACATTCTGCAGTTTTTTTTCCTTGATAAAGTTCAAGGTGGATTACACAGTGCTTAAGTAATCAACAAAAATTACAAGTTCTTATCTGTATGTTTTGTTTATAGAACAGTGTTTTATGGCTAACAGGACATATGAAAGGCTGCTGTCTCCCCTACTTACCCACATGCAATGGCACATCCTGATGGGGCATATGCACATGCCATCACCCAGGTGCAGGGCATTGTGACTGCATGCTCCTGAAACATAGCACACACCGTGCTTAGAATAAATGAGGGTGCTTCTACACAAATGTCAGCTTTTAACAAGTAAAACTGTTGAGGCATCTACCAAATTACATTCCAGTTTCAAAGGGGTTGAGACTGGTGAGGAAACTCAGCTCTCCAATAATCATCCAAACCTTATATCATATATTCTACAAGTTAAAAATCTCACCTAGCAAAAAAATATCCTTAACATCTTCTTTCTTACTGCTATACTCCCCCTGTTGCTCTGAATGAATACTGGGGCTCATTTTTTTTTTTAAAAAGACTATCCAAATTTCATTTCAGATATATATATGTGTGTGTGTGTGTGTGTGTGTACACACACACACTTCATCTTATTTACTCAGGTGCTATTTTTAAAACATACTCTTAAAAACACACTCGACTTTTTACATGTGTAAGTTTGTTTACTTGTGAGTGAGTATACAACAGCCTCTGTCCCCTGTGGGTCCTAAACCATTCCAGGCAGGAATGTGGGTGAGGGTGCGGAGGGGGAGTGGAGGGAGAAAAGGGAACCAGTAAAATGGAAGCATTAAGAGGACATGAAAGTCCTCGGATTCTGGCTGGGGTCTGAGTCACCCATATTCTCCTGCATATACAGATAAGCAACCAAGGCACCCTTAAAAAACTTCTGAGTCTGTGGCCTTATTTCCCTGGGAGCCATAGGCCCTGGTCCTGGTCCTGACACCAGTGATACGTGCAGCCTCACGCAGGCTGGCCATCTGTCCTACCTCAGTTTCCCTCTCCACCTGGCAAGGGAGAAGATGGGACTAGACGGTTTCTAAAGTACATTCAAGTGCTGGTCTTCTTTCCTGTTATGATCCTCTGTGTTTTTGTGGGGAGACATTGGCCCTGATACCCCTGTCAAGATTCTGCTGTCACTCCCAGTCTGGCAGCCCTTTGGACACCATGAACAGCCTCAGGGTGTCATCAGGGAGGTGAGGTGGGCACTCTCAGCACAGGGCACCCAGCCCTTCTGCTGACCAGCAGTGATTGCGTGCCCTGCCAGGGGCCTCCAGTGGCAACACCACAGCTCCCCAGAAGCCAGGCAGCATGCGCTTTCCACCATGCTCAGGCTTAACTGGAAGGATCCCCACTCCCCTACTCCTGAAGATGCTGAGGAGTGCTGGGAGAGGCAGAGTGACATATAGGGAGCCCTCTGCAAACTGCTATATTGTCATTTTTGTTATTCCCCAGGGGTGGGACCATTTAGGACTTTGCTCTACAAGATGGTTCTTGACCAGACCAACTGCCTGTTATGACATCTAGTGAACATGTTCAATAATGCACAATAAGGATGCTGTTGAGACAGATATGGGTTTTCTTTTTTATACAGTGAAAGGGAGACTGTCTTTCTAAGTAAATATTGGAGTCCATATTTAATATATAGTACTTGTTACCATAAATGCCAACACAATGCAGGCACGCAGGCTCACCTACACACAGATTCTGCCCTTTCCGTTTAGTTAATAGTCTAAACTTAGGTCTCATTTGGAGCAGTGCATGTCTACACCAGACTTGCAAAGGGCTCAGGCTCCATGGCACCCCCATGAAGTGCAGTTTAATCCCACTGAAGTCTCAGCTCCCCACCCACCATGGGGTCTAGTGGGAGAGAGAAGTGGAAGAGAAGACTGGGGATTTGGTATCTCTTCTCATCAATCAGAAGAAAAATCATCAATGCAGTAGCAAGTGTGAATGTGACACGTTTCTGGGCCACACTCTTTTCTGTTTCCATGTCAGCAGCCTCCACGTTAGCCCTGCATGCTCTTCTCCCGGCCAAGGGCTGGACTTGAGAGGAGTGAATGCTACAGCGGGCTGCTGAGCCATCTGAACACAGAAGGGCTTCCGTGGAGTGTACAGCCCAAGTAGGCTCCTGAGGGGCAGGGCAACCACTAGTGCGATGCTTGGAGAGGATGAGGACAGGACTGGGATTGTGAAGTGCCTCAGTCCGCCGGGGACAAGGCCTTACCTTGTTAGTGGTGAAGGAATCCCACACGATCACCTTCCCATCCTGGAGGAAAAGAGTCAAGAGTTCAACAAACTAGTGATCACCACCAGGGAGACCCTGGGGGGCGGGGAAGAAGAGGTACAAATTGTTACATTGCTAGATGCCAGGGGTTGGGGGTAGGCTGGGGTCCGGAGTGGGGAGTTACCTGTTCAACAGGAAAAGTTTCAGTTTAGGAAAGTGAAAAATTTGGGAGATGGATGAGGGTGAGAGTTGCACAACTGTGTGAGTGTATTTAGGGCCACTGAACTATAGTTAAATCTGGTTAAAACAGTATGTTTTATATTATGTGACTTTTACCACAATAAAAAACATTTAAAAAAGAGGTAAAAGCTGTCATGTATAAAATAAACTACAAGGATATATTGTACAACATACAGAATAGAGCCAATATTTGAGCCAATATAGCCAATAACTATAAATGGAGCATACGACCTTTAAAAATTGTACATCATTATAGTGTACACCTGTAACATATACTATTGTGCATCAACTACACTTCAAGAGAAACAAAACAAAAAAGAGTAAACAGCTTAAGAATTGTCAACAAGACTTAACAGGTGAACTGCTGAGAACCACTTGGAAAACCAGAGCAAGTGTCTGGACAATCAAGACCCTACAATGCACCCTTGAGCAAACAGGAATAGATGGGACTACACTTCCCAGGGTGGTGCAAGGCTCAGTTCTAAACCCTGCATCCCTTGTGTAGATACAATGACAAAAAGCAATGCTCAGACACTCTTTTTCTACCATTTATAAACCAAGCACAAACTGCGGGTCAACTCTCATCACCACCATACCCCAAATGTCAGTGAGTTATACCGGGATGAGGTAAACCTGAAATGACCTTCAGATGCCTAACAGTCACTAACAATTTCCATCTCCTCACCCTCCCCACCAGTCTCTCCTCTCTCCCACTGTCCTTGGAGTCCACATTTCCTGTAGGACTGTATAAGAGCCTCACCCCACCCCTGGTCCCCCACCCCGTGTGGAAGCTGTGGAGCAGTTCTGTGGAGCAGTTCTGAATCAATCTGACTTCTCCAGGTGCTCAGGAACATCCCCTATCCTGACATTTCACACCTACCACACCTGTGCCGCAAACATGGGACTCACACCTATGATGGTGGGGACCCCTGTGGGCGGCTGTTCAGGAAACACAGAGCGCTCCCACTTGAGCTCTGGGCTGGCGATGCCATGGACAACGTGGCCACGTTCACTGCAGCCACTGCTGCGGCCCTCACTGGGGATGTGGGGAGGGGCTATGGTCTCATCCATATAACACAAACTCACCAGAGATAAACCCACATGAGCCCCAGTCCCTACAGAACGTGGTGTGCGGGTGGTCCAGGCCCCCAGGCTGCGGCCAAGTAGATTTCCTCCAGCACATGGGTGGAGGATGTGCAGTCCTTAGGGATGGAGAATCTGTAGCCTCTATGGTGGGCTGGATTTTTTATTAACCACTCAAGCCATCTGGAGCCAAATCTGGTGAGGGAGGCGAATGCGACTCAGGGACACCAGCAAGGCCTGATGAACTAAAGTGACACAGCGGCTTGCTTCACTTCATCTGACGCTAAGACCACGCTGCGCGGGGGGTCAAGGTCAAAGCCGGCAGCTTGGAGTCTTTCGAGACTCCTCAGCACATTGGTTCTTCTAGTCTAATTTCTCTGACTAAAGGCCCAAACACAAAGTTTGGGTGGATTAGATAACAGAGCAGAGAAGAGAGCTGTGGGTGGGGTGGGGTCTGGAGCCCCTGCTTGCTGGGGTGGGCGTAGAGACTCGGTGCATCGCCCAAGTCAGCGCTCCCTTCAGAGGCTCCCATCAGCGCACAGGTGGCCTGCCTGGCCCCACCACCCACCCACTGTGCTCCGGAGAGACAGAGGCTCCCATGAGGCTAAAATCAGACTCAGGGCTAAATGTGGTCCCTCCATGAGCACAGACATATACACCAGGGGCCTATGTACCTGGAGAGACTGAGCCTCCACCCCAAACCCCCACCCACACAGTCAGGCGGATTAATCTCCTGCCTTTTAGGGGAGAAAGGCTGCTCTGAGTCACTCAGAGTCTGTTCCAGGGGCCTTCTGCTGCTCCCCACCTTCCACCCACCCCCAGCTACCTCCAGACACCCTCTGCAGTCCAGGTGGATGGATGGCGTGAGTCAGCGGTGCCCACGCAGCCCTCCTCCCCTCCCTCCCTCTCTAGTAAGAGCAGAACAGAGTGACAGAAACCCAACATATGGTGTTCTTTTAAGGATTAAAAAAAGTCTAAATGGCTAGGCAGCAACATGGACATCTGAACAACCCCTCTGTAAAATGGAGCATTTGGGGAAAAAAAGCCTAGAAAGAAATGCTTTAAAATAATACCAATTATGACAGGGTGGTAGGAGTAAAAACTTCTCTTTGCTCTCATTTCCAGTAAAATACATAACTAATAAATTAAAAAGCACATGCAATGTGATGTACTAGATTTGTAGGTAATACAGGAGATTAATAACACCCGTCCTATACTGTACTGACATGGATATTAGAGCTCATGGATTATTTAGAATATGTACCTCCCCAGTGGTTCTGAACCCTGATGGTAAAGAACCTGCCTGCAATGCAGGAGACCCAGATTAGATCCCTGGGTTGGAAAGACCCCCTGGAGAAGGGAATGGCTACCCACTCCAGTATTCTTGCCTGGACAGAGGAGCCTGACGGGCTATAGTCCATAGGGTCACAAAGAGTCGGACATGACCGACTGACTAACACTTTCACTTTTTTCCCCACAGTTTTAATATTTATAAGGGCTATAAACAAAAATCAAATTTTCCTTTGAAAAAGCTGGACTAAAGGAAGCGGCAGGAGCCAGGGGCTAAACCAGCTAAAAATAGAGATGACCTCAGTGTGTGGTTCAATGCATGAAACACCAATACAGACATAAAAAACACTAAGCGGTGCAGTCAGCCTCCTGAGAGACATGTCCTTGTCCAGGCCCCTCCCTCGTTACATCGGGGTGGTCTGTGGGACCAGTGGTATACAGCAGAATGGAGGGGATGTCACTGCTGAGGCCAGGTCATCAAACACAGCATGGCTTCTGCTTCTGTCTCCTTCTGTCACTGTGGGAGGCCAGCTACCGCGTCATGAGCAGACCAATGGAGAGGTCCACAGAGTGAGGAGCTAAGGCCTCCAGCCAAGAGCCAAGTGAGCGGGCCATCTTGGAAATGAGCTTCTGCCTTAGCTGAGCTGTTGAATGACTGCATCCCCGACCAATGTATTGACTGGAACCTTGTGAGACACCCTGAGCCAGAACCATCCCGCTGAGCTGCCCCTGATTCCTCACTCTCAGAAACCATGTAAGATACCAAATATCCACTGATTAACTTGGGGGAAATTTGTCATGCAGCAGTTTAATAAGTAATACATAGGATGCAAAATCAATGATGTGACCTATAAAAGCTGAATGACAAAAATTATATTTCACAAAATACATAGTTTAAATGTGTTACTTAAGGTGTAAAAACTGCTAAACTCTTAAGCTGAAAGTAGCCATGGTGGCACTTCACTTTTGCCCTCAACTTGGGGGAGAAAAACATCCTAATTAAAAAATGGCTTCCCTTACGAATAAGACCATGAAATATGCTCAGGAAGAAAAACTTTTGAATGGTTTGTCAAACAGAGTTTATAATATTTTAGTTACTGCCAGCTGCAAATCTACCCAAATTAGTTAAGTTATCAAGCATGCCAGAGAATTCTTAAAGAGGTAACTTGTTCCCTTTGACAAACAGGCAGAGTCATAAGGTTTTTGAAAAGGATGGCTGAGAGGGTTTTTGAAAAGGATGGCTCCTTCCCTTCAGCTTTACAATCAGAAGCATGCCCACCATCGCCCGACAGGTGTGACGTACCTGAGAGGAGCTCACGAGCCTCCTCTTATCCTTGCACCAGTCCATGCACAGAACCTTGTTCCCGTGGCCTTTGAGGGTCCTTCTGGTCTTCATGACAAACTGCCCCAGGGCCTCCACGCGTTCGGCCACCTGGTGCACTGCAAGGACAAGGCGCACTCAATCCCGTGACCAAGCACCGGCCTGAGCCACACGCCGGAACAGGGGGGCTGTCAGGGCCCCTCCTGCACTTTACCCTCATGACTCACGATGCTCTCTCTTTCAAGCTCAGTCCCCATAGCTCGTGGGTGAAGAATCTGCCTGCATTGCAGGAGACATGGCAGACGCAGGTTCAATCCCTGGGTCCGGAAGATCCCCTGGAGGAGGAAATAGCAACCCACTCCAGTATTCTTCACTGGAGAATCCCATGGACAGAGAAGCCTGGCAGGCTACAGTCCAAATGGTCACAAAGAGTTGGACACAACTGAGCAACTCAGCACACACAAAACACAGAAGGTAGAGACACGCTGTCATTTCCTGTGGGTTTAAGACTCTCTGTTTATAACTTACATAATACTATATATCAACTATGCCTCATTAAAAAAGACACCATGTTTTTCAAAGCACTTGCATCCACATATGCATGTTGAGGGACTGAGGACAGGACTGCCTTCTCCCTGCAAAGCTTGACACAGAATTCTCCCACTGAAGGGCCACAGCTCTGCAATGTGGGGGGAGGTAGTGGAGTGAGGTCGCGATTCCACTGACGGGCAAGGAGACTGAGGCTCACAGAGATTATCTGGCTAATACCAGTTTATACAACTAACTGGGAGCAAAGAAGGGGCTTCTGGCTCTCTCACCTACTCCTTTCCAGTCACAAGGACAAGTGACTTTACAGAAACTGCCCCATCAGGTGCCAGGATGTGCATCCACTTGCTCAACAGCAGGCCCCGTGCGTCCTCTCTGGTCCCCCCATGCCTGGCTCAGGCCTGGGATGTGGCTGGTGTTCCCTCCACGTGCTGCTGGAAGGAACGAATTGACCAACCCAGCAACCCACAGATTTCCTGGAAACTTGCAGTGCCAGCAGAGATCACGGCAACATTCTACGGGTCTGAACACAAGATGTGCGGGAGGCATGTGCCTCGGGAAGACGCTCCAAAGATCTATGGTTCAGGGGCTGGGACCACAGCCTTTTTCGTGAGGCTCAGGGAGAGCTTTTGAGGGGTTTTTAGAAATGCAGTCAACGGATCAGTCTTAGAAGAAGACAAGTACACGTGAAACAGCAGAAAGGGCCCCAGAAACCATCCAGTCCATCCAGTCATTGAGGGGGGTGGGGGAATTGCACAGCATCTGCCCCCTTGTGCAGTGCCTCCCCCTTTCAGGTTAGAGGCTGTGCCCGGGTTCCTAACCTCATCTCTGTTGCTCTTTCCTCCAAATATCTTGGTTGGGCCTTTTTTCAGGCAGGTGGGGAGGAGAGAAGGGGGCATTCTAAGCCAGGAATCAGCCCCAGGAAAGATGTAGGGTCTTGGTACAGACGAAGCATCAGGGGTGGACAGAGACAAGGCGCTGGCCCCTTCCTTCCTCCCTGGGGAAGTGCCCGCCTCCCTCGCGGGAAGCCGGGACTGAGGGGCTGACTCTGCAGTAAGCCTTGTGACAACAGCGCCCCTTCTTGGGAAACCCTTGCTTCTTCCCTCCCGTCTTCCCTTCCTTCTCTCTAAACACTTCCGTGTGTATTTCCCCAAAACAAGGAACTTTCTTACATAACTACTGTACAATGATCAAAGTCAGAGAACAGACACAACCCTATGTCTCATCTATAGACCTTACTGAGACGTTCTCCACTGTCCCAACAATATCTCTATAGCAAAAGAAAACCTAAGATCACATGTTGCCCTCAGTGGTCATTTTCTTTTGTCTCCAGTGATTTTGTTCCCCAGCTGGGCTTGTCTGGTGCTTCTTCCAAATAAGCTCTGGGTAAAGGACACTGGCGGGAACACTGCAGACCAGCGATGAGATCCTCCCCGTGCATCTGTCCCACCAGCAGGCATCTGCTGTCTGCTAGTCCATCCCCAGCAGTGTTCACTCTGAGCATCTGGTCAAGGTGGCATCTGCCACGGTTCTCCACTGTACACTTACCAGTGAGCCTTTTGTCATGAAAAAGTACTTTGTGGGGATGTACTCTGAGAGCACACACATATCATGTTACCCCTCAAACCTGAATACCCCAGTTTTAATATCCATTAATGATTCTTGCCTGAACCTGATTATTACGACAGCTGGTAAGTGGTGACTTTTCTAAATCATTCCTTCTGCAGTTTTCAGGTGGCCTTCTAATATACAGAGGAAGGTTCCCTCTTCCCCAGTGTATTCATTTATTTACATTATAGGGAACTCATGGATTCTCACTTTATTCAAGAGGTTATAATCCTTTGCTACTATTTATTTTGATGCCCAACTGGGCCCTGATTTGCTCAGTGGGAGCCCCATCAAGCAGGCTCCGGAGATCTTCCCACATAACCCCATTATCCTCTGAGAACATCTTTTGGCAGGCTCATGTTCCCCCCATGCCCTGGCCCCGGAAGCAGCCACTTCTCCAAGAAGTCTTGGTTTCTTTTAGTTGTCCCATTTTTTTATGATGAAAGAAAAGAGAACACAGGTTAAAGTCTTTGTGAAAACCCAAGTTGTTAAAAGTGCTTGCTAAACTATAAAATGCTACATGAATGTGCAATTAATACACCATTGCTTCTGCTAAAACACTGCATTTTTTATTGCCACAAACAGCACATTAGTCTTTTATGGCAACGTTCTTCACAAAAACATATTGAACGCAACTTAAAAACAGACTGAAGTTTTCTAATTTTTTATAAGCCTTTTACACAAGCTTGCACCAGCTCAGAGCTGTGAGCATATCCTAGTTAGTATTTTACTTTGAAACTTCATATCTGTACTAGCTCTGCTTCCCTCAGTTCAGCATTAGGGCAATCCTAGCCATTTAATGTCTCTCTTACCAAAAAAAGACTCACCGACCAAAATACGGTCCCTTACATAACATGAATTTGAACACATCCCAACTTATTAATTATTTTTAATCATGACACTTTCTCTTCCTATACACAGATTCACTCCCAACCCACTCCTGCTTCTATCCACCAAATCTCACATTCACTAAATTCGAGTTAAAAAAAAATTTTTTTAATGAAATTAAAAACAAAAACCTGGAAATGAGCTGAATATGTCCTGTAAATCATTTATGGCAGCTTGGTTCAGCGCAGATGGGGTTTCTCCTCTGCCTTCTGATTAACTACCCCTTCAGGACTTAACTTTTTCTTTAAAAACAAAAAGAAAAGAAATGATGAAGACAACCAGCTTGTTTCTATAATAAGAACTTCTAGAATATAATGATAACCTATAAAGAAATTCCACCAGAAGGTAAGTGGCATGAGGGTGGGGTGCTTTCTGCTTGGATCTCCTTGGAGCATGCACTGGAGCAGAGCTGTCAGGAGCCCGGGCTCTGGGTCACAGCCCCGTGCAGCTGCTCCACATCTATGAGCAGAAGCTCACCTTCCTGCAACCTCATTTTCCTCATGGGGTTGTTGGCAAGACTATTCCAGTCTGGCACAAAGAAAGCACGCTCTAAAATCTCCTTGAAAATGAACACTGTGAAATCAATTATAAATATAGAACATAAGTTTAAAGATGAGTAAGGGGTCTTAAACAGGAAAACAGAAATATTTTTAAAATGATCTTGATTAACTTCCTAAATTTTGTACCAGTATACAGTTTCTGTGATGGCCACAATTTGGTAGAAGATGAAAGGAGTCAAGCAAGAAAATTTAACCAAAGCTAATTTGTGAAAACTCATTCTGTCTCTACCCCACGGCAGAATGGGGTGGGATGTATACAAAAGCTTCAAACACCTGGATGGAAGAAAACATTTACAATTATTTACCTCACTTATGTTTGTAAGAGATTTTTTAATTGCCCCCAAACCATAAATTGGGCTTTCCTGGTGGCTCAGATGGTAAAGAATCTGTCTGCAATGCAGGAGACATGGGTTTGATCCCTGGGTCAGGAAGATCCCCTGAAGAACGAAATGGTAACCCACTCAAGTATTGTTGCCTGGGAAATCCCATGGACAGAGAAGCCTGGCGGGCTACATACAGTTCATGGCATTGCAAGAGAGTCAGATACAATTTAGTGACTAAACAACAACAAAAACCATAAATTAGCCACAGACAAAAAACCTACTCTGAAATCCCAAATTAAAAGTTAGAAGGGTTAAATTATGGTAGAGCCTTTATGGTGGAATAATATGTGATTTTAAATCATACTTTTAAATACCGACATTGAAAAGAACTATAAAAATGATATAAGGGGCCATAGTCAATTCACTGGGTTAAATTAAAACTAGGCTCAAACAAAAAACAAACTCAAACTATACCTGGTACAATTACAAACATGCTTATAAATACATATACAAAAATGAAAACATAAGCTATAAAACACAACAAGATATTAAACATGGTTACCTCTGGGTGGTGGGCTTATGGATAATGTGTTTTTCTGTATTTCTGAATCTGCTACAGTGGCATTGGTTTATTATGACAGTATTCTAGCAAGAGGAAGAGGTGAGGAAATGAAAGGCAAGTTTGCTTTCTGCTCCTTCTGACATAATAGGCCACACACACAAGAGCCAGAAGCAAATCACTCTGCTGGGAAACTCACTTTTTAAAGACTCAGTACACATAGCATATTTCCTCAGAACATGGAAAAAGTCAATCAATAAATTTGCTTCAGACTAATCCAGAAATATGGTTTTCCTAACACCAGAACATCAGAATAGTCCAAGGCTCCAGCCATAGAGCTTTTGAGGATAAAACCTTTCACAATGTTATATTTAGAACAGATAGAAAAGTGAATAGCATTGGGTGATAAACCCTGTAGTTTCCCTTATTTTGTCTGGATTTGTACCTAGAGATGTTACATAAGTCTCTTTTTTTGAGTTACTCTGTTCCTAGACAAAAATAGAATCTTCCCCTAAGGGGCTGGAAACCTGCATGGAGCCCCCACATAGGCCCAGGGACCTTCACACATGTAGGCTGAAACAAACACAGCCTCCCTCCTGCTGTCTGCTTTCAGCCTGTCTTCCAGATCATTTGTCACTTTAATTTCAAATTAAGACTCTTTAGAGTTGAACTCTCTCCTTTTTTCCCCCTTGATCTTAACCCTCATTCCAGTATTCATTTTTTATTACAAAAGCAGTAAATACACCAATCTGTATAAAGTTAAGAGTACCTCTACATACCCCTCTACTCTCATTTCTGGAGATAACATCTCCCATGTATCCTGCCACACATTTAATGCATATACAAGCATCTCTTGTTTAAGCTAATAAGACCATGTTACATACACTGTTGGGCACTTTGGTTTATTTACTTCATATTGACAACTTTCAATACACACACAGACTTAGTTTCCTTTCCCCTTTTTAATGTGAATCTCAGCTTTCTGAGAGATGGCCTAGCATGGTGAGAGGGAGAGCTACTAGGAGCCTGGTGTCTACTCTTCATATGCTTCGAAGAGTAGCTGGATAACCTCTGGGAAAGCCCTAAACCTTTGGCTGCTTCTTCATTCACAAGGAAAGGGGATAGGGATGTTGGGAGAGGAAGAAAACTTTTGTGCTTGAAGACTGAGGTTGAAGCAGGTGACCCGTGTAGTTTTAAGAGTTGTGTGATAGCCACACCCCCCAAAGATGTTCACATCCTAATTCCCAGAACCTGTGAATATGCTAGCTTCCGTGGCAAAAGGGACTTTGACGATGTGATGAAGTTAGGGATCTTGAAATGAGAAGAGTATCCTGGATCATCCGGGGGGGGGGGGGGGTCCAATGTAATTAATTACAAGGGTTCTTACAAGACGGAGACAAGGGGTCAAAGTCAAAGGAAGAGATGTGATGACAGAAGCAGAGTTGGAAAGATGTGAAGCCACAAGCCAAGGCATGCAGGCAACCTCTAGAAGTTGGAAAGACAAGGAATGGACTCTGCCCCAAAGCCTCAGAAGGAACACAGCCCTTCTGACCGCTTTCAGACTTCTTACCTCCAGGACTGGTAAGAGAATAAATTTGTACTGTCTTAAGCCACTGTGTTTATGGAAATTTGTACAAAAGCAACATGAAACTAATACAAGCTGTCACCTCATGGTTCTAAAATGCCTGAGAATCAAGTGAGGAAGCACCTACCCAGAAGGGAAGGTAATCAGAAGGTGATGAAGGTGATAATGGGGAGAAGCAGGAGGGGCTGGGGGAGTGAGGGGAAAGGCAGGGCAGCGACACAGGGCCTGGGGCTGTGGGGTTTGATGTAGGCTGGCTTACCCTTAGTTCACCAATAAGAACCACTTCCTGTAGTTAAGAGTTGGCCCAGGGTTTGACCTGGGGATGAGGGTCCAACAGTATGGATGCTGGTCTGAGGGTCAGAGGGAAGGGAATTGAAGAACTGAATCTGGAATTAAGTTCATTTTCCTCCAAGTTTATGCTCTAGTTTTGTTGTGTTGACTTTTTTAAGGCAAGAATTTGGGCAAGGCAGAGCAAACAGAAGGCTGACCAACTGCTGCAGTTTGCCCAGGAGTGAACGTCTTCCCAGAATGCAAGGCTTTCCATTTTATAAAATCGAGAGTCCCAGGTGCACAAAGATGACTTGGTCACCTTGGCTTATGGCTTAAAGACCCTTCCCAGACCAGGACCGGGGCCACAGGGTCACCTATAACAACACCAAAACGCAAACACACACACACTCGGGAAGAGGCTGAGAGAATGGAAGTGGGAAGAGCCCAGCAACCCAAGATCTCTAAGGGAGAGACTGCAGTCAGAGGAGCTGTGCTGACTGTTTATAAGATTCCGGGGGACTGTGATCGAGTGAGGGGCCAGTGTCTGATGAGGGTCACCCTGTGGATCCTGAAGACACCAGGGATGGGACAGGGCTTAGAGTCAAAAGGAAGACTTGAGCCATGTGCCAAGGCTCAAGAAAGGAGGGAGGTCGGGAGACAGTAGAACAGAGGTGACGGGAAGAGGGAGGTCAGCTGAATGCTCAGAGCCTCAGTGGAGCAAGGGTTTAACACCAGAGTGAAGAGAAGTGGTCTGGAAGGTGCAGAGGGAATAAACAGGACCCTGGCCACATGACTTCTCATCTTTTCTACCCAAAAATTCTGCCATATACAGGTAGGGATAAATCCTTCTGCTGTGGGTTCATGGTTTGACCCCGATTTCTGAGAGCCCAGCATTTTGGGCAGGACAGGGGTTCCCTGTTGAAAAGCTTCATTGTAATCACCTCTTTGCCTCAGGCAATTTACCAGATTCACAGAAAAGGCTGAAAAATATCCCAGTGAGCAGCCTGTACTGGTGAGTAAGAGAGTTTCTAGAGAATGCCCTCTGCACTGAGCACTAAGGTATTTGGTAAAACAAACAAAACAAAAAACAACAGTAAAACAAAGTGAGGCTGGGCTGGAATCCTGCGGCCTCTACTTACTAGCTGGGATCATTTGGCAAATCCTTTCACCTCTCTAAGCCTGTTTCCTCATCTGTAAAACAGACATCAGATGACCCCGAGGCACTAACACCACGCTCAGAGCATCAGCACTATTGCCTGTGGAGCACAGGAATTTGCAAATGGAAATGGCACGGACCCATCAGCCATTCCCTACTTCTCTGATAACAGAACCCAACTTTGTCTGGGGATGGCAGCCTGCCCAGCTCACTTCCTTTCTCAGCCTCCCTTGCAGTAGCCATGTGACCTGGTTCTGGCCAATGAAGTACAAAGAAAAATATGTTGGGGACAAAGGAGGTTTTTGAAAAAAACTTCTGCCTTCCTGAAAAGGGAGAAACAGAAGCTGATGCTCACATTCCCCCTTCTTCCAGCCCTGGATACAAAGGTGATGTCTGACACTATGGCAGTTATATCATAATCACGGGGCAAACATGAGCGCCGTAAGTAGTGGAGAGAAAAGAAGCATGGGTTCCTGATGACACATTGGGCACTCGAACCAAAGCAGGCGATCGCCTACCCTGATTTTTGTTAAGAGAAATAAATCCCAATTTACTTAATTACTTTGGGGATTACAGCTAACTGTAACTGAATACATTTCTAAAAGATACAGGGGCTCAGCTTGCCTATTTAAAGGCGGCCCCTACAAAGGCACAACATATTTGGGATTCAGGTCTTCTGCGTCTATCAAGAGGTTTGTCAAAGAAAGGAATCAGGTGCTACAGCACCTAGCACTAACCTCGGTACCAAAATGGCAGGAGCACAATGTTTAGGTGTGCCTGAGGGTACCTTGGGAAGGTCCGGCTCAGCAAAGAGCTGCCACCCTCAGGGCTGAGCAAGAAGCAGATAAAGCCACTTCCCCAAGCTTGGCCTTAGCCCAAGCCCTGCTAGGGATAAACCATCCGACAGAGTAAAGGGAAGCTGATTTCGCCAGCAGTCATGTCACCGGGCTATTTAATTGCTCACTCATAAAAATCACAGAGCTGGTTCTGCATTATGGTCGTGAGTAATAACGTAAATTTATTTAAGACTGCTGCTCCTCTTTTATGCCAACCACACGGCATCCAAACAAAAGCATCTGGAACAGCCTCAAATGAACTAAACGTTGGCGTTTGGTAAGCTTCTCTGCTTCCTTTCCCTAGCTCCACCCTCAGACTGGAAAAGTGAGATTTTAGATCAGAGTCTGCTTCCTTACAAAAGCAAAACTGAGAAAAGACAACAGTGATGGAGAAACTAAAATGATAACCCAAACCCCCATAAACCAAACCGCAATCCCGGAGTTTCCCCTAGGCCGTGTCCACAAGAGCTCGCGGCGCTCGCCTCCCCTGACAATCCCCTACACTCCGCTCAGGTTGGGAACGGCAAGAATGAGATCAGTTCGCTTCGCCCAGGCAGGTGATGACGGTAACTGGTCCCACGATCCCTCGTCAGGACAGCGGCCAGGAGCTGCTCCGCCCAGAGGCGGGGTGGCCTTCGCCAGCGGGCGGGAGACTCTCGGACGTGCTGGGAGCCCGCGAGGGTCCGGCTCGGGCCCCCCACAAGCGCATCCGGGGGATCGGGCCGCGTCTCAAGTGGCGCCGGGGCGCCGGGCCCTCATCCAGGGCGGTGGCGCGGGTCCGGCTCCGGGTCCAGGCCGCCCCACTCCATCCTGCCCTCCCCCGCCCCGCCCCGCCGGTCTCCTTCCCACCGCCCGCCTCCCGGCGCGCAGCCCCCGCCGCGGCCCGCACTCACACTCCACGTCGTGCAGCTTGGCCCGCTCCTCCTCCAGTTTGCCCTTGAGGCTCTCGGCCTCGCTCTTGAGCGACGCCAGCGTCTCGTTCTCGTGCAGCCCGTCGGCTGCCATCTTCGCGCGGGGACGCGGCGGGAGGGAAGCGGGGATGCGAGTTAGCGGACGGCGGAGGCCGGGCCGGCTAGCGGGCGCCCAGCCGCCACCGGCGCAGCTCCAGCTGCCTCCCCGAGCGCGCCCCGCCCTCCGGCGCTGACGCCGCCGCTGAGAGCCGGGCTGCGGAGGCCGATCCTCCTCCCTCTCCGCCGGCCGCAGGCACTGGGGCGCCCCGCGCCCCTGCGCCCCCGCCGAGGCTAATGTTAGCGCACATACTGCCGGCACGCAGCAACGTTGTGCCCATTTCACCGGTGGAAAAACCAAGGCTAGGAAGTGATACGCGACTTGTTGAAGGATGCGCACTTAGTGAAGGCCGGCTGGGAGTCCAACACAGGACTACTCCTGCTCCTGGGAGTTTGGCGAAGTCCCAGTGGTAGAGCCCTTCCAACGCCCCTTCCTCCCACCTCCCCTGTTTGGGACTTGATATTTAGGTGTGCCTGAGGGTACCATGCTTGAAACACATGTTTGGTACACATGTGAAATGACTGGACAGAGTCATTTGGATGTCTCCAGTCTCCCCTATTTGGGGCCCAGTGGCTTCTGACTGAAGAGAGCGGATGAGAGAGAAGAGGGTGAAGGGGCCTGGCTTGCGCCAAGGGTACGCTCTGATCCCTGGTATCTCTAATGCTCCCCTATGATGCGACAAACTTCTAGTTTATTGACTTAATGTCAGAAAGCAAAGAAGAACTAAAGAGCTTCTTGATGAAAGTGAAAGAGGAGAGTGAAAAAGTTGGCTTAAAGCTCAACATTCAGAAACTAAGATCATGGCATCTGGTCCCATCACTTCATGGCAAATAGATGGGGAAACAGTGGAAACAGTGGCAGACTTTATTTTTTGGGGCTCCAAAATCACTGCAGATGGTGATTGCAGCCATGAAATTAAAAGACACATACCCCTTGGAAGGAAAGTTATGACCAACCTAGACAGCATATTAAAAAGCAGAGACATTACTTTGTCAACAAAGGTCCATCTAGTCAAGGCTATGGTTTTTCCAGTAGTCATGTATGAATGTGAGAGTTGGACTATAAAGAAAGCTGAGTGCCGAAGAATTGATTCTTTTGAACTGCGGTGTCAGAGAAGACTCTTGAGGGTCCATTGGACTGCAAGGAGATCCAACTAGTCCATCCTAAAGGAAATCAGTCTTGAATATTCATTGGAAGGACTGATGCTGAAACTCCAATACTTTGGCCATCTAATATGAAGAACCAACACATTTGAAAAGACCCTGATGCTGGGAAAGATTGAAGGCAGGAGAAGGGGAGGACAGAGGATGAGATGGTTGGATGGCATCACCAACTTGATGGGCATGAGTTTGGGTAAACTCCGCAGGTTGGTGATGGACAGGGAGGCCTGGCGTGCTGCAGCCCATGGGGTTACAAAGAGTCAGACACGACTGAGTGATTGAACTGAACTGAACTGATACAAAAAGTAAAACTAGTTCTGGATTCTGAAAAGCCAGAAGTCTTTGCCTGTTCTTGGTTTTGCTCTTCTCTTATTCACTAGAGAATCAAGTCCCTGTCCTGGGGGCAGCAGCCAAAGGAAGTGGTGGTGGGGTCAGGGACCCACAAGGAGCCAGACTCGGGGCTTCTGAGCCCTGCTCAGTGATCTCAGACTGGTCACTTGTGATGGGTCACTCCACCTTAGAATGAAGGGTTACGGCAGTTCCCTCAAGGAAGCAAATTAGTGACTTTGTGGCAGACTCAATCATCTGCGCTTTCCAGCCCCTTTCATGCCAGGCACTGTTCCAGTGCTCTACATTAGTAACTCACAACAGTCACCCTGAATGGGCACTGTTGTCACCTCCGTTTTACAAATGAGGCACAGAAAAGTGAGATGATTTGCTTGGTTCACTCTCCCAGAAACAATCTCAGAGTTCTTAGAGCAAAATATTAAGAGCACAGGCTCTGTCTAGATCCCACTGCCTGGGGGTGAATCCTGGTTGTGCTGTTCGGCCTTAAGTGGCTTACTCAGTTTCTCTGTGTCTCAGGCTCCTCATCTGTAAATGGGGAGAATACCTTCCTCATAGAATCCTCATAAAGAGTGACTGCATAGAGCATTCAGAGCAAAGCGTGGCACACAGTTATGTGCTCCTTGTTATTATGAAGGCTGCCTGGTACATGTGAGCAATTAACAGGAAGTATGAGACACTGGGGCATGGGGACACCTCTCACAAGGCCATCTCAGAAGGCCTGGGAAAAGCAGCATCCTCATATCACCTCTTCAGGACCTCATGGCCCACCGTGGGATACGTGTGCCTGACTCAGGGTCTATGTGTTCGTGAAGACCTGGGGTGAGTGGAGCTTCATACAGGAGTGTGCCCTCTTCTGAAGGTTCTGTGTAAAATAACCCCCCAAAATCCTCCAATCTAGGGAGTTTACCATCTGGAGAGGAAGCCAAGGAATGCTTTAATGTCTGGCAAAGTTTGCAAAGGCTTCCCTCATAGCTCAGTTGGTAAAGAATCCGCGTGCAATGCAGGAGACCTCAGTTGGATTCCTGGGTCAGGAAGACCCCTGGAGAAGAGAAAGGCTACCCACTCCAGTATTCTGGCCTGGAGAATTCCATGGACTATAGTCCATGGGGTTGCAAAGAGTTGGACGTGACTTTCATTTTCAAAGTTTGCAAAGTGCCTTCCTTTACTTTGCTGTGCACTGCTTTTTTAAAGTTTAAGTCAGAAAAGTTACCTACTACATTTCAGCAGTGGTGGAGTTAGAGGGATGCCCCATCCATGAAAAGTACCCAGTGGGGGCTGTGTCTACACAATCCCAAACACCTGGATTAAAAAGTTAGCTGTTAGTCATTTGGATGTCTCTGCAGTCAAAACAATCTGTCTGAATATTTGGGAACCTTCCAAGTGCTCGTGGTGGAGCAGGTGACAGTCCTCTGAAGAACATCTCTAGGCAGGGTTCTGACCTGGGAAGAATCTGTGATGCTACAGAGGACCTGACATCTGGGATTCTGGGCTCCTTCTGTCCACAGGGAACGTTGTTTCAAGTAGAGAAGAGCTAGATTAACACATAGTACTGCTCCAGGATGGTAGGGCCATCAGAAAGCAGGTTTAAGAACTGAATGTCCTCAGCTTGCAGTGTGCAGATCCAAGTTTAGAACAAAATGTGCTGCAGGTAGAAGCCCATCACAATGAACCTGAATCCTGTGACATGAGGATTACTATACTGTACCAAACCCTGTGTGCCCCTTTAGGCTGTTTATTTGCCATTTGCTTTACAGGAATAATTTTTTAAAAATGTGTTCACTGTTAGGAGTTATAATGGGACCAAAAGAATGAATACGTTTTCCCTTCAGTTGGATAAAATGTGAACGTTATCTTTCCCCACTTAGGTAAGTGTCTTGGTTTTTGTTCTTTCATTGTGTCCACAATGGGGATTTCCTACTGAGCCTGTGGGGGAGAGTGCTTTACCACTTGTGACCAGGTGGGGGCTCCACTCAGCTGCACTGCTGAGCACAGCTTTGCAAATTCTCTGAGACAGGACTCATTCCTAGAGCCTCAGCCAGCCTGTGGGCATTGCTGCTACAGGATCTGAAGCCTGTGCAAAGCCGTCTCTGGTGAAGATTGATTTGTACACTCTGAAAAGTGCCAGGTTTTTTGTTCAGTACCTACCCTGGCTGAAGGCTTAGGCCCAAGGAACAGTTTTCCTTGAGCTTGATTTTACTCATAACTGAGGCCCTATATTGGAGAAGGAAATGGCATATGCTCCAGTCTTCAACAGAGCTGTTCCTAGGGACAGCTGGCACAAAGCCTTTGGGAAGGTGCTCCCTGGCTGTTTATTTACCAGAGTCCCTTTTAGCTTGCTTGTTTGCCAAGCTGACTAGGAGAAGACGGAAAAAGCATTAGCTCTAAAAACTAATAAGCTAAAACATTTATTGAGCACTTTCTCTGCTGAGTATTATTCTAAACACTTTAAAAAATAAACTTATTCTTCCTCCTCTCCAAACCCTGAGATAGATGCCACTATTGTTGTTTTCTGATGGGAAAACAGATCTCCTGGCAGAGCAGAGATCCGCTGGCACAAGGCCCCTGAGGAACATAACTGGGAGTTGAAACCAGGCCATCAGACACCAAAGTTCACATCCTAAACCGTCACACTGTACTGTCTCACTCAGCCTGGGTGTGATGCAAATGTTCGTGTGTGTACACTGATTCTATGGCAACCCACCAGTCACAGGACCCTCACATTAGACATTATTTAAAGACAGGTAATGACTTAAATATTTTTTTAAAAAGTGGCACTTACAATTTCTGCACATAGTGAACAGTAGTTGAGCTGTTCAGATTTCTTGAAAACTGGTCTCAGAGCCCGTTGTTTGAAGCATCTGTCACAGGAGCCAAATACGTTAACTAGAAAGGTCTGATCCATATTTTACCCCAGCTGACGCTGGAAAAGAGGGAGAGAAAAAAAGGGAGGTGTGTGTGTGAGAAAAGTTTCACAAATTAAGAAACAACCTTTAACAAGCTCTTTAGTCTTATTTCTCTGATTTCTTGGGCATTTCATAACAACTGAAAGTATTATGCAACAGTCCTAAAATTTTATAATGGTCTGCAAATTTTTACTTTCTACTGTTTGTTCATAAAGAAACTTTGTATTAGACTTTAATAAACTTTGTATTAACATGGTAGTTAGCATAGATGTAAAATCAACTTCTTGAGCTGAAAGCAGAACAGAGAGCAGAGAGTGGAGAGTTAGATAAAGTGAGTTGTTAAACAAAGCGTGCATCACCCTCCCATACAGCTTCTATTTTCTTTCTTTCCTTTTTTCCTCCTTTCTTTCTTGTTTTCTTGGCCATACATGTGGCATGTGGGATCTTAATACCCCAACCAGGGATCAAACCCTCAACCCCTGCATTGGAACCATGAAGTCTTAACCACTGGACCACAAGGGAATTCCACAATACATGTTTTTGTTGACTTTTTTAAAAAAAAAGAAAGAAAAAGAGATAGAAAAGAGGGGAAGGGATGTGTGTGTATGTATGAGAAAAGCCAATGGAAACAGCTTTTTAAAACCTCATCTTGGGACTTCCTTGGCAGTCCAGTGGTTGAAGCTCTGCTCTTCCACTGCAGGGGACTTGGGTTCAATTCCTGGTCGGGGAACTAGGACCCTGCATACCACGAGGTGTGGCAAAGAAATCAACTCACCTTCCTGTTATCATGGTAGTTGCTCAGACCCATGCAAATAAAGTCTATGCAGTTAATTTGTAACTTTCAATTTATTACAACATGCTGGGTCAACACCAGCTCATTTATTTAATCAGTAAGAAAGTATCAGACAATAGATTTTCTGAACAGACATGGACACAATTGATCTTTGCAGTACAGTATTTTAATCCTGTAGGGCCTCACAATATTATTGTTGTTTAGTCTGTAGGTCATGTCAACTCTTTTGTGACCCCATGGACTGTGGCCTGCCAGGCTCCTCTGTCATGGGATTTCCCAGGCAAGAATACTGGAGTGGGTTGTCATTAGCTCCTCCAGGGGATCTTCTCCACCCAGGGATCAAACCCACGTCTCCTGCATTGACAGGTGGATTCTTTACCACTGAGTCACCAGGGAAGCCCCTTGCAGTGGATTCTGTAATTTAAAACTTAAAAAAATTCCTCCCCTCAAGATGAAGTTTTGGAGTAGAGATTAAGAGTCAGAAAACCTGGAGCCTGACCCCAACCAAGTAAATGTGGTGTTGGTTCCCTGTAAGGAACACACCTCATTTATGAAACATTTGCCAGTCACAGATCCAGGGTTCACTGCCTGTCCACCCAGGTCACCAAAGGGAGGGCAACTTTGAGCAAACAAGCATTTGTGCTAAAGGGTGGGGCTCTGGCTGACCCAGTCCTGACCCCACTACGTGGGCCAGTGACTTCACCTCTCTGCATCTTTGCTCATCTGTTAAATGTGGATCTTAGACTCTGCCATCGTGGGGGTGTCAGGGGACTTATGAGAGATGCCGCATGAAGCATTTAGCGCAAGGCTGGACTACAGGGAGTGCTCCGTGGACATTATGCTGCCCTCTGAGTGGCTGCAACAGCAGAAGCCGTGGCAGCAGGGAAAAGGAGGGGAGTGGGGATGAGGCTGGAGATGAGGAAAAAGCAGAGAGGAGTCTACGGCCACGTTCAGACGAGATGAAATCCTGTACTAAGGCAATGCCATGGGGTGGATTTGGACCGTGCTTCCACATCCAAAAAGGAGAGGGAACTGGACTTGCTGATGTTTGGGGAAGAGGGGAGGGAGATGCCTAGGACGTCTCCTAGGTTTCTGTTTGGAAGGCTGAGTGGTTGGGGCGCCACTGCTGGAGAGTTTGAGGACCAGGGGGTGAAGGTGGAGGGGGCACAGCCGTCATAGCCACACCAACTTAATACGTGTTCCAGAGCGGGCCGTGTCAGGTTCAAAGGAGAGATCCTGTGATAAAGAGCTCTGGGGGCACTAGCCTGAATGTTTGAACAGAGTCCAAATGGAGAGGGATGTATTTTGGGGCAGGTGGCAGTGGAGACACCACTGCGGGGGATGTCTACCATGCAGGGGTCACCATGGGGCTGGGGAGAGGCCAGGGAACTCAGGAGTTGAAGTGCACCCCCACTGCCGAGAGGTGGCTGCAGCATTCTTGAGGTGCCTAAGGAGCAAAGGAGTAGAAGGCAGTTCCCCGAGGACGAGGGATCCCAAGGGAATCAGCTACTGACCACTGCGGAGTGCTGGCCCTGACCTCTCACAGCCACTCAGGGAGGGAAGCAGGACATCTGAGTTACCACAAGGGAGATACTGAGGGATTAACAAGCGCAAGGTCAGTGATGGAGCCTGAATCTGTACGCAGAGGAATTCCACGGCCCTTACCACAGAGCCAGCACCACCGAGCTGCTCTGCCTTGTCACAGAAAGAGTTAAAGAATGGGAAAGGGCCTGCCACCAGGGGCTAGCCTGGGGTGGGGGCCTGGTAATGCTGCCCCCGCCTCCCCCAACCCCCGCCACTGCCCAAACCTGCCAAGGGGGCCAGTCACAAGGTCGTGCTCCAAGTAATAGCATTAGGAAGGTGAGCCACGGGGTTTCAGCCGGGAGTGACGTCATTCAAGTGGATTATTCCAGCATTTGCACTTCTGCAAGTAGGTCAGAGAGAGAGTGTACAGCAGGAAAGTCAATTAGGTTGAGAGACTGTTATCAGGAACTGGGGAAGAGGAAGTAAGCTCTGGACAGAGTAGTAGCTGCAGGAATGGAAGGTGAGAGGAACCGAGGAACTAAGTGCAGAAGGAATAGAAGGATGACTAGGAATCATGGGAGATCGACTCCCACAAAGAGAGAAGTAGGAAAATTGCCACACAGAAAGACATATCATATGATATCATTTATATGTGGAATCTTTTTTTTTTTTTAAGGAAGAAACAAACTTATTTATAAAACAGAAGCAGAGTCATGGATGTAGAAAACAAATTTATGGTTACCGGGGGATCAGGGGGAAGGATACATCGGGAGATTGGGATCGACATATACATACTACCGTATATAACGTAGATAATGAATAAGTACCTACTATATAGCACAGGGAACTCAGTAATGATCTATAGGGGAAAGAATCTAAAAAGGAGTGGATATATGTATAACTGATTCGCTTTGCTGTACACTTGAAACTAATACAAAATTATAAATTAACTATACGCCAATAAAATTTTTTTAAAATTGCCAATATTCCAAATCTGGATAGAGACTTTTCTCATACTGAATTTTATATTTTTTTCACATTATAAGAGAGGTACATGTTCATTATACATAATTGGAAATAGAAGGACATGAAGAGGGAAAATCTGTCATCAACATGCCTTGTTCTAACAAGTAACTGACCTCTGTTAGCATTTTATGTTTTATTCTAGAATCTCCATAGTGAGATACATTTAAGTATACATTTAGTGTATACATTAAAAAAATTGGAATTACATGCCATATGCAATTTTGAACTTTAATTTTTAGCTTAATAGTGTTTTCATCTTTGCATGTCATTGAATATTCTTGGGAAACACCAATTTTTAAATGGAGATCACAAGTCTGGAGTCGTATCAACCATAAATCATATTGTATAGCTAGCATTTTAGATCTGGTTGGTTGAACATGAGCAAGTGGCAAAGTAAACTTGGAAGATTATAGCATTTTAAAACTATAAATGTTATACATGCTCATTGTAGAAAATTTGGAAAAATCAGAAAGGTATAAGGAAGAAAACAATCACCCATAATCCCAATGCCCAGAGAGACTCCATTTCACATTTTAGCTATGCAGGAATAGATTTTTAGGACCAGGGGTTATACTGTTCGTGTGCACTCTTTATATTTTTACATCCTGGTATTTTCCATTTAGTTTTTATAACATGGGCTAAATTTAATTTTAGTATAGTCTGTTGTACTTATTGAAAATAATATTTTTTTATGATGAGGGAACTTTTCACAGCTAGAGCAAAAGCTTCAGTGGGTACTTCGACAAGAAAAAAAAAAAACATTTCAACAAATTCTGACATGAGATTGCTCTGTGGTAGGAGTTACCTAACCCTAAGCCAAGCACAAAATTTCTTTGAAATGTTTCACTTAAATACACAGTTCCAAAAAAATTTACCAAATCGCCTACTACCCCATGATTATTTTTTTAAGAAGTCAGTGCCAAGGATAGAAAGTCAAAAGTGAAAGTTCCCATTACCTGTCCTATACTCAGTTTCCTGAGTTTGGAGGCTATTCTTCCAGAGTTGCCAGATGCCATAGATAAAGCTTGTTAGTTACATAAATGGAACTGTTAGCCACTTGTTTTTTTACCTAACTTATTCTGTTACTGTTTACAGAGCTATCTGTTTTTTGGTAATAGCTTTAGTATTATGTTATACTATGGAGTGATGGAGTATCACAGTTTAATAAGCCAACATCCTACTGTAGGATATATAGGGTACCCCCAGTTTTCACTTTTAAAATTGTGCTTCATTGACCCAATTAAAAATGGGCAAAATTACCCTCATACTCTGCTGGTGGGAATGTAAAATGTTGCTGCCTCTGTGGAAGACAGCTTAGCAGTTACTCAAGAAGTTAAACATGGTTGCTACCAAGTGACCAAGCAGATTTACTCCTGGGCATATTCCAAGACCATCAAATACATATGTGCCCATAAAAATTTACACACGAATTATCTGTAGCAGCATTTAAGCCAAAGTGGAAACAACTAACATGTCCATCAACTGAGGAATGAATAAAGAAAATGTGGTCTGTTCATACAGTAGACTCTTATTTGGCAATTAAAAAAAAGATGAAGTTCTGATGTGCTACAACATAGATGAACCTTGAAAAGTTTACACTAAGTGAAATAAGTGAGATGAAAAAGGCCACAAATTATGATTCCATTTATACAATACATCCAGGATAGGCAAGTGCACAGAGACAGAAAGTAGATTAGAGGTTGCCAACAGGTGGGAGGTAAGGGGTTGGAGTGACTGCTTAAAGAGTATGGGGTTTCTTTTTAGGGGTGACGGAAATTTTCTAGAGTTAGATAATGTAATTTGCTTGTGAATATACTAAAAACCACTGAAATGTATGCTATAAAATAGTTTTATGTTGTGTGCAATTGTATCTCAGTACAGATTATTTTTAAGTGGGCAAAAACTTGGACACTTAACAAATGCAGATATTCATTTGGTCAATAAACAGATAAAGAGGTGCTCAACATCATTAGGCATCAATGAAATGCAAGTTAAAACACACTGTGAATCCACTATTTACCCACCAGAACACCTAAGAGTAAAAAGACTGATGGCGTGAAGTGTGGGTGAGAATGTAGAGAACTGGACCACTTCAGCTGGTAAGAGAATAAACTGGTACAACCACACTGGAAAACTGATTGATAAGACCCACTAAAGCTATGTAAACCTATCATTTTACTCCTTGATATATACTCAACAGAAATGAATACTTACATCCTCAAAAAAGAAAAAAAAAATGAATAAGAATGTCATAATAGTTTTATTCATAATAGCCCCAAGCTGGAAAAACCCAAATATTCATCAATTTAGATAGATACATAAATTGTGATATGTTCATCTAATAAAAAAGAATAAACTGCTGATACACATGGCAATGAATGGGTGAGTCTCACAAGCTTTAAAACTGTGTAGTGTTTAGTGTTAGAAACCTCTTTCTATTCCATACGCTGCACTCCAAGATTTACGTTGACATGTGAAGTGTTATGTGGGTCAGTTTTTAAAACTGACTAAATTGTATAGATGCTTAATTTGCCCCTGATGTCAATACTAAATATATTTTGAAAACAAAGCACCTATTTCAGAAGAAATACATGTGAAATGTGGAAAAATTAGAACATACAGATTAACTACCATAACATCCTTTGCCTATACTCTCACTGCCCAGAAAGACCCCTGTCAACAACTTGGTATGCACACATCTGAACACTTTTCTGAGCATTTAAGGAAGCCTGAGCACTCTAATGTTAACACATACATACCTTCCAGAGAGTCAACGCTTGGAACCGATCAGCAGAATGTGGAGAAGTTAGAGCTGCAGCTTCAAGGTGCTAAGGCAACTGCATCCATCTAACTAATCTCCTTATCTGGACTTTACAGCTCAGCGGCTCTCTTCCTTCCCACCTCCGGCTCTGTGTTTATAGCTGGGGCACACGCTGCAGGTTGCATCACTCACTCACCCTTTAGGCCTTCTGACCATTCATACTGCCAGGTTCCCTTAGGAACCCCGTGGACCAGTTTTTAGAGCTCAGTTCTCTGCTCTCTGCAGGAAGCAGAGTTTGGCAGGTTTGACCCCCATGAATTCACGCCCTGCTTCACTGAGTGACCCCGACATTTACCTGTTACTGAAGGTTAGCAGCAGCTCCTGCCTTTTCACAGTCCTCACCCCATCGGTACCTCATGGTTTTGGCCACTCTTGCCACCTTTGGCTTTGTAGAATGGATCAAGACAGTGCGGTGAGAGCTCCCCTGCCCCTTTCGCCATGCTGTATGCTTTTCAGGCTCTGCAGGTCCCCGTGTCTTCAAACAATATCTACTCTTTCCCAAGACTGACCCCCTACAAACCCTGCTGCCTCCAGTAGGACTCTGCTCCTGAAGTTCCACTTGCTAGCATTGAGATGAGCTTTTCTCCAGGAGCTCACAGGGTAGCAGAGGGAACAGCCAATGTTACCCATGATGGGTGCTCTAAGACAGGACGCATGAGTTATGGGAGCCGAAAAGGAAGAGTGATGGGCTCCTTGTGGTGTAGGGGAGACCTGGAAGGGGCACAAAGAAGGCAATCTGTGTGAATCAAAACCCAGCCAACTCTCTGCCAAGTAGCCCCTAATGCTGGCACAGTCTGGGAGCTAAATGGAGACACAGCCGAGGAGGGCATATTTACTTCCTTGCTAAAAAATTTTATATATATTTTATGAGGTGTTATGAATCTGTAACGTTTCCAGCATCTTTAAGTATGACCCTTAAATAAAAGCATAAACCTTGTGCACTTAGGAAAAATGTAATCTCCTGGCAAATAAGAGAATTTGACCCAGATCATGTGGTAATTTTATTGATTAAAATTTTACAAAGTTCTACTTCTCATTTCTTCATATACAATATATCTGAGCGAACTAAATTAAATCATTTATGATATGAAAAGACTTTATTACATATTGGAAGGGTGATGTTGATTCATCATCATGTATTATTTCTACTCCTAAGATATATGCCCATATTACAGAATCACAGCCATGGCCTGTGACTTAGGGGAGGTATGGAAGAGCACTGAATCCACGGGCTAGGAGTGCTTATCAAGTCATGTTTTATGCTCTGAAAGGAAGAAATAAAGAAGCCTGGGGGAACAAAGAATAGTCAGTTCCCACAAAACTTGGGAGATTTCTCAAAAGAAGGAACTGACATAATTTTTCAGTTATTTTTATGAGGAAATCTTAAAACATATTTGAATGCTGATAAGACAGAAAAAATCATTTAGGTTGCCTTTTCAAACTATTTTTTTAAGTCATTGTATGAAAGACATTAAACAATGAAAAGTTATGGCGAATATGTTGGCAGAGAAAATTCAATGATATGTTCTTTTGGAGGAGATGATAAATGATGTGGGAGTTAGACTTGAATGATATATTAGTTTTAAATGAATATTTACATAAAATACTTCATGATTTATTTCAGATTGAGTTGAATTGAATATTCTCTTAAAAACTAGAGGGGCCTGAAATAAATATTTTTTAATGCAGAAGTGTCTTTAGTAAAAAGAGTTGGTGAAGCACCCCCACCCTTTTCAAGCAAGTGTGAGGGTGAGAGAATTTCTGATGGGTCATGGTCAAATGGGATTATTTGAAAGACAATCCTGGAACCCATTTGTGGCTTCATAAATATCTGGGCTTCACATGAACCTTAGAAAACAGGATAAGCTGTGTCCCGAAAGTCTCACTCCCACTGGGTGGACCCTTGTCACAAGATAGAGGCACCAAGCAGAAAACATGAGTATTGCAGGAATTCTAGTAAAATTTGGCAGAGATTCCAAAGGTAGACGTGGCCTTTCCAACCTCAACTGGTGTGTGTTAATTCTTACAAGATGACAGCGGCAGCACTATCACCATGAGCAAGAGGAGATGTGGCCCATTTGGGAGAATTCTTATTTTCTTCATTAAATCACATTCCAGAGCATCTCCAGTTCCAATCAGGTGTAAGCCACATCTTTCTTATTTGAGCTTCACTGAGCTTCTGAAAGAAAGTGCACTTATGCTCTTTTCTCCTGCTATAACCTATTGAGAAAGCCAAGCTTAAAACTGCTGGGGATTTGGATCATTTCCAGAGCATGTGGAGAGGGAGTGAAAGGAAATGTGACTTGAAAGAGGTATTTGGTGTCCAGCATCAGGTGTGATGAATCCTCTCGGCTGTTTAGGAGAGCCTGAAATGAGAACCAGGGGGAAAATGAATAAGGAAACTAGTGCACTCTGCTGTGTTGCTGTCTGGAAGTCAAAAGTAAGGAAAACACAACAGTGAAAAACTCCTTTCAAAATCATGTGAGATAACACACAAAAGGGCTTTTCAACAGCACAGCACAAGGTGAATGGTCTATTTGGGTCTTCCAGGCCAGCTCTCATGAAGACTTACTTGCTCTTTTTCACTTCAGAAGTTAATTTCCCCCAGGATGGGCTGACTGTAAATCGATCTAATTTCTATTCTTACCTATTCTCATGGCATAATTCTCAGCTCATGAGTGGAGCTCAGTATTAAATTTTTATTGCATTCATAATTATTTTTAGTTCGGTGGTTTGCAAACCTTTTGGTCTCAGGACCCCTTTAAAATCTTAAATTACGGAGGACCCCAAACAGCTTTTGTGCATGTGGTTAGAGCCATGGATATTTTTCATATTAGTAATAAAGCAATAATTTAAAATACTTATTAATTAATTAAAATAACAAGAAAAGCCCAAGACATATTAACATATTTTTATTGAAAAATAAATCAAATTTGAAAGAAAATTTAAAAAAAAACTACTGAGAAGTAGTATTGTTTTTTATAGTTTTGTAAATCTTTTTAATGACTGACTTAATATGACAGGTGGAATCTTGTATCTGCTTCTGCATTCACCTGTAGTGATTTGCTATTCTGGTTGAAGTGTGTGAAGAAAAGTCTGCTTCACACAGGTATATATTTGGAAAAAGGAAGACTTTGCAGACTCTCTGAAATTATCTCAAGGATCCACTCTTCCCCACCTCACCAAAGACTCCTGAATGAAACTTTGAGAACTGCTGCCCTGAGACACTGGGAAAGAAACTTCAGGGACTGAAATAAGAAAAAATGAGTACATAGGTTCGCTGCTTCCATTCAGCCTCTGTTCCCTGGTCTATACGCAAAGACTGATGGGAAACAAGACATGCTGAAGGAGTGTAGGCTGCAAGCCATGGATTTGGTGCTTTCAGTCCCTTCCCACAAGGGCTAAGATGGGTTCTGAAAACGGGGCATTGGACAGGGAAGATTTCTGCCACTTTTCCTGTGTGCCTTTCCTTTGTATATTTGGTACATGTACTTTAATTCTGGACTTCTACAGTGGTAATTAAATATCACTTTCTCATACTAAAAATTGAAAGGCACAGCTTAAGCATCTCACCTGCACTTTGCGAACGAAGGATGGAGTCACTCTTTTTTCAAAGTCATCTATAGGTGTGTATGAATTAAGAATCTTTATGATCTGCAAACAATGCATAAGATGGTATAAGGCCGCGAAAAGGATAACTTTGTCCATGAAATGATGGTTCCAGTGGTCTGGGAACAGCTGGGAACCACAAGTGGTTCCTTAATACTGTAATCTGGCTCTAGGAACCATGTGTTATTTTTTCCCCAAGAAAAGAGAAAACAAGCTGAGAAGAGCATAGATGGGAGCAAGGACATCATTTAATTCGATGGCTGAGAGGTAATTCCCCATTTCCAGACTCCTTCTCCACTCCTACATCCTCTCCCCACACACACACATCTGTGGTTTTGTGGGCAGGGAATGTACCATACGCGCTTTTAGGTTTTCAAGGTCTAGAGTTAGTATTTAATAAATGCTTGTTAGATAGTGGGTTGGCCATGGAGATATGTATGCTCCCCAAAGAGCACAGAGAGATGCAGATGCACCTCATGTCAGCTAAGCCAGGAAAGAGGATGCCAGTCACATGATCTGCTGGTGACGATCAGGGAGACACTGCACAAACCCGATTACCTGCACGGCAGACAGGGAGGTACAGCGTTCGTAGATCTCCTTGGCATCACTGTCGGTGGTCTTCTTCACCTGAAGCAACCATGCTGCCTGTGAGAGAGGCTCCAAAGTTTCCTTGGCCAAGTTGTTCTGTAAATTCTTATCTTTAAGCCATTCTTCTAAGTAACTGATGTTGCACCTGGAGTAAAAGCCAGAGGAGCAGAGAATAGTGGGTGATCCATTTAGAACACTTCAGGGGAGGATGTAGAGTCCCCCAGCATGTCCTAACATGGTACCAGTGTTCGCTGAGATCCTTAGGACCATGTCCAGCAGTTTCTTCATTTGTAACAAGAGGGGGCTGGGCCAGATGATCAGCTCTCATGATCCATGATTCTAAGGATCATGATGGTCTAGGGTGAGTGGCCATAATAGCAATAAACTTTGGAGAAAATCTGAACAAAGAACAGTGACTACAATAACTTATAAAATAATCTATTAATGTACCTTTAATAATAGATTTGAAAATATCTTAAAGGAAAAACTCATAATGTATTTGAAGAGGGGACTTATACTGGTATAAAAATTGTTTGATCTCTTTTCCTAAAGTAGCAGAAAATTTTCAACTGGTAGGTTTTCTAAGTCCACTGGGGTTTCTATTCTAGTTTCTGTCACTTATTATCATAGGTTTATGAGTTAAGAAGCATTGGTTTTAATCCCACCAATCTGTTTTGTGAGCCTGGAAAGTTACTCTACCTCTCTTGGTAAATCAGGGTGTTGAGAACACTCACACATTGCTAGTGAGAATGTAAATAGCACAGCTGCTAAGGAAAACAAGCATTTCTCAAAATGTTAAACACTGAACTACCATCTGACCCAGCAACTCCAAATTGAAAGGTCCAAACAAAAAAATCATACACAAATGTTCATAGGAGCATTAATCATTATAGTCAAAAAATGAAAACAGCCCTAATGTTCACCAATTGGTGGACAGATAAATAAATTGTGGTCTATCTATACAATAAAATGTTATTCAATAATAAAAAGGAGTGAGATACTGACACATGCTACTACATAGGTGAAATATGAAAACATTATACTAAGTGAATGAAGCTACTCACAAAAGACAACATATTTTATGATTTCATTTTTAAAAAAATGTCCAGAATAACCATATCTGTAGAGAAAGAAAATACATTTGATGTTGCCATTGAATCAAAGAAAAAGCAAGAGAATTCCAGAAAAACATCTACTACTGCTTCATTGACTACACTAAAGCCTTTGACTGTGTGGATCACAACAAACTGTGTAAAATTTTTAAAGAAATGTGAACACCAGATCACCTTACCTGCCTCCTGAGAAATCTGTATAAAGGTCAAGAAGCAACACAACCAGATATGGAACAATGGCCCGGTTCAAAATTGGGAAAGAAGTACATCAAGGCTGTATATGAACACCCTGCTTATTTAACTTATATGCAGAGTACATCACGTGAAATGTCAGGCTGGATGAAGCACAAGCTGGAATCAAGATTGCTGAGAGAAACATCAACAACCTTAGATATACAGATGACACTACCCTTATGGCAGAAAGAGAAGAGGAACTAAAGAGTCTCTTGATGAAAGTGAAAGAGGACCATGAAAAGCTGGCTTAAAACTCAACATTCAAAAAATAAGATCAAGGCATCCGGTCCCATCACTTCATGGCTAACAGATGGGGAAACAATGGAAACAGTGAAAGACTATTCTCTTGGGCTCCAAAATCATTGCAGATGCTGATGGCTGCCATGAAATTAAAAGACACTTGTTCCTTGGAAGAGAAGCTATGACCAACCTAGACACCATATTAAAAAGCAGAGACATTACTTTGTCAGCAAAGGTCTGTGTAGTCAAAGCTATGGTTTCTCCAATAGTCATGTATGGATGTGAGAGTTGGACCGTAAAGAAAGCTGAGCACTGAAGAACTGATGCTTTTGAACTGTGGTGACGGAGAAGACTCTTGAGAGTCCCTTGGACTGCAAGGAGATCCAACCAGTCCATCCTAAAGGAAATCAGTCCTGAATATTCATTGGAAGAACTGATGCTGAAGCTGAAGCTCAAGCTCCCATATTAAGGTCACCTGATGCAAAGAGCTGACTCATTGGAAAAGACACTGATGCTGGGAAAGATTGAAGGCAGAAGAGAAGGGGACAACAGGATGAGATGGTTGGATGGTATCACCGACTCAATGGACATGAGTTTGAGTAAACTCTTGGAGTTGGTGATGGACAGGGAGGCCTGTCGTCCCTGGGGTCACAAAGAGTTGGATGTGACTGGGTGACTGAACTGAACTGAACTGAACTTAGGTGAGGAGAAGGGGACTCCTTAGTGGGATGTGGGTAGGGGATAAGAGTGGCTACTACTGGGTTTAAGGTTTCTTTTTGGAGTGATGAAGCTTTTCTAAAATTACATTATGGTGATGGTTGCATAATTCTGTAAATATACCAAACTTCATTGAACTCTACACTTTAAACAAGCGAAGTGTATGGCATGTAGATTATATATCAATGAAGCTGTTTAAGAAATTGAGTGAACTAGGTGATCTCTAAGGTCAGTTCTAGCTCTGACCTTCCAGATTAGCAACTCCCCATGGGTTATATCACTGGGACAATAATGCTGAGTTAATGTATTCCATAGGAGGTAATAAGTGTGAAATGAGTTCTCTTGCTCTGCTAAGCAGCCCCTCCCCAACACTGTTTTTCTGCATTGTCAATTTTGTCCCACTAGTTTAAGTTCTTACTACAGTAGATTCCTAATGGGCCTCCCATCTCGTTCCTTCTAATCCATCCTATTCAATTCTGCCACAGTTTTTCTAAATCTGAATTTTGAGCATCTTAATCCTCCTACTCAAAAATCTGTATTGGGAATTCTAGTTCTTGGTAAGATGGAATAAGCACTCCATTTTGTGTCTCCCACAGAATGCAGTTATAAAACCTGGATGGAATGCCTGGAACAACTATTTGAGGACTTTGAAAAGTAAACAGTAGCAGGTGGTATGGGGAAGAAGACCAGAATTTGAAGTATCTCCCAAATAATACTGAGTTTACCAGTATCTTCCCCTTGGCTATTCACTGGTTTAAACTCAAAGCAGCCTGAAATTCAGCAGTGGGCATTGCTGTCAACTAAGAGCTCTAGGAGGAATCCTCCAGTTCTGGTTTGAGAGGCTGAAAAGGGGTGTCCTAATACTCTGAGAGAGGGTAGAAATTCTGTTTTTCTTATTTCTCCTTTTCTTTCTTTTTCTTCACTCTGTTATGCACAAGCCCCAAACAGTCCTATGGTGGTGGCAACAGGCTCCAGCAACAAATTAAAACAGAGAGGGGAACTTTCTTCAGTTGGAGGAACTGTAGCTCAAGAGGATGGGGGTGAACACCTCGAGCTCTATCCTCCCACCATTTGACCCCAGATGGGGACATCTGCTGGAAGTGCAGCACATAGTGAGTTAAGTAAAGCCCAAGTTTTCTGTCTGGAGGACAAAAGAAAGGCTCCTTAGAGATCTGGAAAGTACCAGGGGTATTATGGAGAGGAAAAAGCTCGGGAAAGTGATCCTTAAATTTGCTTATGAACTCCTGGGCACACCCCTGAGCCCATGCATGAATCTGCACACTTAAACTTTGAGGACTAAACTATGGATTGAGCACCACCCAAGTTTCAGACTGGTCACTGTGTGTCACACATAAGACAGAAGCAAAGAGCATTACAAAGGCTTTGAAAACTGAGCTGACCAAGCAATCACAATTCCCAGAACCTGAACCCCAGTGGGTTGATTATCTGATAAAAATATCAACATTCTCCACAGGATTTAAAGACTCAGTGTCTCATAATACTAAAGTGTCCAGAATACAATTCAAAATTACTAGGCATATTAAAACCAGGAAAATCTCATCAGATTGTATAATGCAATTAATAGATACCAACTCTGAGATGACACAGATGTTGGAATCATCTGACAAAGACTTTAAGGAAGCTATCACAAAATGCCCCCAAAAGTAAAGACAAACTACTTTGAAATACATGCAAAGACAGAAAATCTCAGAAAAGACACAAGGTGTTAAAAAATAATTGAAAAATTGTAGAGCTGAAAAATACAGCGACAGAAACAAAAGAACTCACTGAATGGGCTCAACAGTAGAATAAAGAGTCAGAGAACTTCAAGGGACCAAACAAAGACTATGCAATCTGAAAATTCCAAAGGAAAAATCTCAAGAACAGAACTTCAGGGGTAACAAAACAATGAAATCTCTAACATTTGTGTCACTGAAATTCCAGAAGGAAAGGAGAAAGTATCATGCAGACAAAACATTTGAAGAAATGGCTGAAAATGTTCCAAATCTGGTGAGATCCACAAACCTGCAGATTCAAGAAGTCCAGAGAATCTCAAAAAAGCTAAACTCAAAGAAATCCATACCTAGTCACATTATAATCAAATTGTGGTAAACTAAAAACAAAGAAAAAATCTGGGAAATCAATAAGAGAAAGACTAAGTATTGTTTGTAGGGAAATAATAATTCAATGACTGTGCATTTCTCATCAGAAACCATGGAAACCAGAAAAAAGTGAAACATTTAAAAATTGATGAAAAAAATGGACTGTCAGCCCAGACATTGGCAGCCTACAAAAATATACCTCAGGAAGTATAGGTGAAGTATAGAAGGTGAGATAAAGATATTTTCAGATTAAAGAAAGCTAGGGAAATCTACTGCCAGTGAATCTGCTCTAAAGGATTACTGAAATAATTTTCTCAGGCAGAAGGAAAATGAGATCTAAATGAGATCTGGGGGAACAAATGAGACTTGAAACATTAGAAATGAAGAAATTACAGAAATGATAAATATCTGGATAAATATAAAAGACTATTCTTCTCCTTTTGAGCCCTTGAAAATATCCTAGGTGAACTGAAACTAAAAATTATAACATTGTCTGGTAGAGTTTTTGATGTATGTAGAAGTATAGCATAAGACAACTACAAAATAAACCAAAGAGAGGAAAGGGGCCTATGTGATGGTAAGGTTTCTACATTTCACTTAATGTGATAAATGATTGGGGCTCCAAACTTTCAGTGAAGGGGGCAAGGGTTCAATCCCTCATTGGGGAACCAATACCATGCATGCCATGCAGTGTGACTAAAAAATCCAAATAAACAGCTTTTTAAAAATCAATGTAAAAA